GGTGGTCCGGCGAGGTTTCTGCGGTGGTCCGGCGAGGTTCTGTGGTGGTCCGGCGGTGGTCCGGCGGCTGTCGAGGAGGAACTCCTTCCTTCTCTTCTCTTCTTCTCTCTCTTGCTTGGATGCTCTCTTGTGAAGAATGAGGGCTCTATTTATAGATTTTATGGAGTGGCATGGTCCGTAAATAGGTGTGAGATCAAGGGCGAATAGGGAGTGGTCAAATGGACGGCCGATATTGAATCCTACGATCGTGCACCGTTCGTTGGACATTTGGAGGCCTTAATGATGTCGGAATTTAGTGATCTTGGGCTCGTTGGATTCGTCTCGTCGAGCCGTTCGATTCGAGTATAAGCTCGTTAAAATCGGAGACCGTTTGGTAACTCAAATTGCGGTTTGAACCTTCCAACAGCGCTTTGAACTCTTGATTCGGACTTATTTGGGCTCGGATTGGGTCGATCTTGGTGTTGTTGGGTTCGTATTTCCGAGACGCTCAGTTTGACTGTAAGATCGTTGAAATCGGAGTTCGGATGCTCCCGGATTTAATTTTTGAAGTCTCCAACTAGTTTTTGCCTTGAGATTCGTGCCTGATCAAGCTAATTTTGTGATGATGTATCAATTATATTTAGAATTGACATATCATCAAAAAATTATCTTGATCGGCACGAATCTCGAGGGAAAATCAAGTTAGAAACTTCAAAAATTAAATCGAAAAATCATTTGAATTCTGATTTAACAAACTTATTATTGAACTAAACGTCTCGAAAATACGAATCCAACAACACCAAGTTCGACTCAATACGAGTCCAAATCAAAGATACGATGCATATTTGAAAGGTTCAAACCATAATTTGGATTTTCAAACGGTTTCCAAAAGTGACATGCTTATAGTCAAAAAGAGCAATGTTATTTTCATTCTTAATTTTGATCTTACAGCTCCTGTTGGCTCCGATAATGAGACAACAAACGGAACTATTTTAATGTATTATACATTTCAGATGAGACGACAAAAAGAACTAGTTTAATTTAGGCTCCCTATGAATAAAATTTCTTGCTCAGCCACTAGCAATTACTATACATATTGATCATGAAAAGCACATTTTATTTATACATTGAAATATTACGATAACCTCATGATAAGATGATAATGGTTATATGATGTTACGTATTGAATTTTATCATTTCTATTTTTTATTTTGTATTTCACAATATTTTATCATTTATATTTTAATACATATTAATTATTTATCGAGTTTGAAATATAACACTCACTCATTATGAGACGACAAATTGAACTATTTTAATTTAGACTACCTATGAATAAATTTTATGTCTCCGCTAGTGATATTTACTATACATGTTGATCGTGAATAATACATTTTATTTATACATTGAAATATTACCATAACCTCAGTATAAGATGATGATGATTATATGATGTTACATATTGAATTTTATCATTTCTATTTTTTATTTTGTATATCATAATATTTATCATTTACATTTTAATAGATAGGAATTATTTATTGAGTTTGAAATATCAAACTCACTCATTAACATTTTTCATAGCATGTATTATCTGAATGCTTAGTGGACCATTGTCAAAGAAGCAAACTTATCAGTAGCAAAATCTTATTTGATTTTTTAAGTTTTTGATTGTAGCTATTTATATTTTTTTTTTCAATTTTGATTATTTTTTTATGCAGTTACTTATTCAATTTTTCCTCTTTTTTTTGTTATTATTCATATTTTATTAATACCCTCTCATTATATTTTAAAGAAATGAAGACTTAGGCTTCATATGAGACAGCTTTCTTATTACTTCTTAAAACAATTTTCTATTATAAAAATTTTAATTTTTAAACTACAATGTTGTTTTAAGAAACAATAAAAAGTCGTCCCAAATAAAAACAAGCTTCATTTGGGACAGCTTTGTTGCTACTTTATAAAATTATTTTCTAGTAAAAAAAATTTAATTTTGTACTAAAAAGCTATTTTAAAGAAAACTTTCCCAAACAAAAGCTTAGTCTATATTTTATTATTTACTCTAACATTGGATCAAAGTGAGACCCAAAACAATGAAACCATCAAATTGTACTTTGCAAGTATCAAATGATTGTTCCTCATACAAAATAAATCTCTATGATAAAAAAAATCATGTAAAATTCTATGAAAGTTCTCCTGGGCGTATTGAATAGCAAAAAGGAGCTTAAAACCTCAGATAATGTTTATAGACAACCCACACAGCTCCAACTAGCAGAGAGGAGCAGTAGCTGGTGGCTGCAAGCACAGATCTTCCAAGTTATGTCAAGATTCTAAAACCAAATCTCTAAGGCCTCATACTTTCGAGCTTCCCCTCCATTGTTTTCTCCTATCTTCCTCCGCTAGCTCTTGGAGACTGTGCTGCTGCTACGATCTGGAATTTGAAGGTCTTTTTGGTTGCAGCAGATATATTTACCATGATTTAAGCATTGCATGGCCAGTCTTGTTCAAATGAGAAAATAATTTATTTCTGAAATATTGAATGGAACAAATTACAGAAGATTTGAAACGGTAAATAAAAAAATTGATGGAGGTCCATAATTAGTACCTGGAATCGAAGATCTCACCACAAGTTTCACATGAATTACTAGGCGCTTTTGCTGCAGCCTGAACACCACAGCTTGCAAATGTCAGTCACAAGAGCATATTCACAAAGTTTGGTTTCATGGTATAACAAATGAACAGTAGTTATGTAGAATATCAATATAACATGGCACACAGCTTGCAAATGCCAGAGCTAAAAATTAAACCAAAAAAGTACATTTGTAATATAGGAGCTTGGATGATTTCTTCCTTTTAATTAGGGAGGAGCTTATAATTTTACAGGTATCATCCAAGATGCATCCTTCTGGGCGAGTTTTAAAAGTGAGAACATATCCACGCATTTGAAGCAATGAATAAATGTAAATTGAATTTGGTAGAAGAATCTGATAGGAAATACTTGAAAATTTCAAGTAAATTCTAACAACGAAAACAGCCAGAAAATTCCACAATATTGAGGAAAATCAGAGGAAAACAGCAATTTCTATTGAAAAAATTAACTAACAGAAGAAAACAACAAGATATAAGTGATCATCTATTCGAGAGGAGGATCTTTCTATCCCAATCTCTAGACGAATCTAAAGCCCAAAACCTAAATATAAGAGACCTCCAATTTCATACAAATTCAAGATGCACTAACCCTAGGAAAAACAAACTATTTAATACATACAATTCAAAAGAAAATATCTCAACAATCCCTACCTTCAATTTCCCTCCTAAACTACCCCAAAAATCCTTCCTAAATTGCTACGTGAGTTTTGGCGGCTTAGTCGGGCGTACAAGAGAGGCGGAAGTGTTCCGCCTCTCTTCCCGCAGGCCGGTCCTGTATGGACCAACTGGACAAATCCATTGGACCGGTATAACAGAATCTTTGCGAATGAAATCATAGATGTTATGCCCACCACAGAGTCTTACACTCCTATGTAGCCAAAAGCTTATAAGCAAGATATGTGTAACAACCATCACGAGCGCAGCATACCGAATACGACCAAAGTAACTGCCACAACTGGAATGGAACCAAGAAACTTTTTGTTACAGATAAAGACGCCTTATTACAAGTAAATAGTCCAAAATAGTGCAGACCTAAAATCACATTAACCTACACCAATGACAAGCTTACATCTCTCGTCACTGCATGCACAAAAACTTGGAATAAATGCTTCGCATATTTAGTCATTACAACTATGCATTCCTTCAATAAATTCAACAATGAGATGAATATACCTTTGATGTGACCTGGTGGGGGGGGGGGGGGGGGGGAGGGAAATAAGGGCTTGGCCCGTATATTAAAAGAAAGAAGGTTACAAAAACCAGCACAAATGCTCCAATAAAAACCAGAGCTGCCCAAAAAGAGCACAAAACAAAGATAGAAGAAAATCCTGTAACTAATTACACAGAAACAGGAAGCAGAAAACTAAAACAGAAAAAGCCTGGAAGCAGCCAACACAAAATGGAACCGAAGCTTGAAAAATGGATCCATATGAGAGACTCCCAAAATCTTCACAAGCAGCAAAAGAGATCAATCCGTCCAGCCAGTAGTCACCTGCAGGAGCAAAAAAAAGGGAAAAACAGGCGGAATGCCCACAATGGCAGTTGGAATAAATGCTTGCATCTCTCGTCACTGCATGCACAAAAACTTGGAATAAATGCTTCGCATCGCATATTTAGTCATTACAACTATGGATTCCTACAATAAATTCAACAATGAGATGAATATACCTTTGATGTGACCTCTTAGTGGAAAGCCCAAGTTCCTTAGTTCAGAAATTGCAAGTTAAACATGATACCCCTGAAGAAGACTATAGCACAGGCTCCAATCATGGATAAGGGTGAGATAAAAAATAACGTTGTTTCGCTATGTCCTTGTCCTCAAGTTCACAAATAATTGTTTCAAACCTTGCATTAAAGTATTGAATTTTTTATGGGTAAAACCTATCTAGTGTTCCAAAGTCTAAATCGTCCTAAATCGTCTGCACTAGTGTCCTTAAATTGTCTGCACCCTTTGTTCAATTTCATTTAAAAACTTCAGCCATATCTTTCTTACCTCTAGAAGTGTTCTCGCGATAATTTACGTGATTCTTCAAGATGTAACTGTATGCAATAAAGTTTAATGAACGTTGCAAACTATAGATTGAAGCTATATGTTGGGCATGATTAAAATATTATTGGTGTTAAAATTCTATCACATGGTAGTCCCAATTCTCAGGAAAATAGTTCAATCAAAACAAGAATAAAAAAATTTCAAAATTAAACTAATCCAGGATCATCTGATATAAAATAGGAAATAGCTTAAACAAATGGAAATATTTTGGAACGAAATTTGTTTAGGTTTCATATGAAATTTAAGAGATATCACATGGATCATCCGGGCTTATGTACGGCACATAACTGGTCAACTGCGGAATTATATTCCAAATAACCACTTAAGGATTTAATACCTCAATCATATGCATAATCGTTCTTGGCTCTCTTTCATGCTCCTGGGATGACAAGCCACTCCCTCTTTAGTTGGGGTTAACTCGATGATCCTTACTTTTCATTGGAAGTGTTTCATAAGGATTTAAACTTATTCTTCGCAAATTATTTTAAAAATATCAAACTACCCTAGGTCTACCCCTTATCCTTCATAATCTTCCAAAAAAAAATTTATTTAAACATCTAATAGTACATCCCCTATACATAATTATATATCGTGAAAAGGTTGGAGTAGCTCCAATGGCAAATAAGATTTAGAGATAGTCGCCTTAGATGATTTGGTCACATAAAATGGCGGCCTTCCTATGACCCAATTAGGAGAGTAGATGTATTAGATTTGGCTTATGTTAAGAAAGCTAGAGTTAGACCTAAGAAGACTTAGTTAGAAAATATTAGAAATGACCTTTTTTTTTATTAGATTTAAATGAGAATTTGACTCTTAACGGGGCACAATAGAGAAAAAAGATTCATGTCGCCGACCGCACATATTGGGATAAAGACTTGATGTTGTTCTTGTTGCAGCTTATCGTTAATAGATGGACTCCAATCATTCATCTGATATAATTGTTCCTTAATATGTCCTTCCTAATTTTGTGACGCATCCATCAAATATTTTCAATTTTGTCAAGATTAATGTAGCTATTAATGACTTTTTAATGTCTCACACTCAATTCCATCAAACAAAATTGGTGGAATTGGAGCTTCATAAAATTTAATTTTAAGTCTCCATAATATTCTATTATTGCATAATATTCCCAAATCATCATCCTATAGTATAATACTCCTAACACCTAAGGTATTCATTCAACTTAACTCTTCAAGTTTAACTAGTGGTGTAACTGAGTCAAGTTGACTCATGAACCGCTCAGTCTCGACTCAATAAATGGTTTAAGAGCCAAATTTGATGAGCTAACAAGCTAGGCTTGAGCCAACCTGACTCAACTCGTCAGTTTACGAGCACGGTCATTTAAAAAATGTAAATATAAAGAAACCTTAAATATACATAAATTTAATATAAATTTGTTTAAATTATTAAAAAATATATATTGCTTTCTTATTTCAAGTGATTTATTATTCTTACTCATTTACTTTTTTAGTCTTCTTATTATGTTATTATAATAACTACTTAAATAAGAATAATATTCTTTCTTTTATAATAAATAAGCTCGCTCATGAGCCAACTTGAACTAGTAGAATTAAGCTTAAGCACAATTAATTAACCAAGCTCAAGCCAATAGTGGCTCAAGCTTGGCTTCACTCATACACACCTTAGCCTTAACTCCAAAAATAATATATATATACATTACTTATTAAAAAGACAAAAGAATGTCTTCCCATTGAAACAATGAGCATTGAAAATTCTTAACGGGTGGTTGAGTAGTTTCTATCTAGGTAACAGCCAAGTACTTGTTGCCACTAGCTCCCTCCATATCTCCCTTAGTCTTAATCTCAGTACCTATCTCATGAACCAAACAACAATCCACAAAAATTAATTCATGCTCGATGAATGACAAGCCACTAATCTCTCACTCTACCTCTTAGCCATTAATGAATAAAAAAGTTGAGGTTGAAGTGTTGAACTAGTTATGTCAGTGTTAAGCTCAATTTGTCAACTACTGAGCTGAATGAGAGTTAAGTTCAACTTTGATAAAGTTCTAAATACATTTTCAAAGTTTCCTTCATCTTCTAATAAGCCATACACAACGATTTACATGAGACATCCACTGATTAAGAGAATTGGGGATATAAAGAGGTTTGGACGCCCTAAACTTAATATTAGCATTTTGATATATGTTAATGAAAAAAGGCATGGCCGAAGTAATGGATTTTGACCAAGCCAAACAAAAATATCATGGAAAATAATAAATGTTCTTGATTTTCATTTTGGTCACTCAAATGCCAAAAAGAACAACAACAACAACAACAAAAAACAGAAGCGATATTTTACAATTATTTTTGGAAAAGTTCAAAACCAAAATCCCAACCACTTCCACCGCCTACGAACAAAAAATATAAGTTAGTGGATTGGGATAGTGACTTCATTTTTAATTGCATATGTTAAGCAATAAGCGACTATTGTTGCAGGAATTCAAATATTAATCTGATACAGCAGGAGAAGCAGGAGCAGCGGGAACGGCAAGAGCAGGAGGGCTGGGCAGCCTCAACCAAACCAGCTGGCCGGTTCAGCAGGAGCCGAACCAGTGAAAGCAAGAGGGGAGAGCCAAGGGGGGAATTCAGCAAAGCTTTGTGAGGCCCAAGGGGCAATTAATCAAGAAAAATTTCAATTACAATTGGGAGAGAATTAATTAGAGAAAGAAATATAATTTGAATTCAAATCTGAGAGGAAATTATTTAGGGAGAACCCAGTGGAGTTAATATTTATTATTTAAGGAGGAATAAAGGGGGTATTGTTTAGGAAAGTTTTAATTACAACTGTGAGGGAATCAATAAGGGAAAAAGATCTAATTTGAATTCAAATTTGAGAGGGGCTTATTTAAGGAAAGGGGGCTGATTTGGGAAAGAATTAGGAGAGCCTATTTAAGACTAACTATGGGATGATTTTAGATTATGCTTGATTTTGCTGGAATTAGTTTTACTTAGGTTGAGTGGGCTCTAGCCAACAGTTAGGGACTTGGGAGAGCCATATATTCCTCTCCAATTGAAGATCCAATTGTATCTTGTGTTTTTTCTTCTTAATTCTTTTAATAAAAAAAAAGTTTTTGAGTGTTCTTCTTCCTAACTTCTTGTGTTGTTCTCTAGTTTTGCAGAAATTGCATCCATTGCCTATCATATTGATATCATAGTGAGGTTTTGAGAGAGATGACAGCAAAGAAGATGGATGCATTTCAACAAAACCAGAGAAAGACATGGAGGAGAAGTTCTCAACTATCGAAGGAATATTTTCAACCATGGATGGAATTTTTTCATCCATAGAAAACCGAATTAGAGGGTTGGAGGAGAAGATGAGGAAGCCCTTGGACATGCAATCAAAAGCTCCATCGAAGATTTCAATGGCTAACCCTAACAAAGATTTGATCAGGATTCCGTTGGCTAAATCGAAGGGAAAGGAAATTAGATGGGAGGAGTTCGATGAATAGAGTTTATTTCATCAAGAGCCACCTCCTGGGCTATGATAAGAGGCGGATCAACATTTCCAGATGAGGGGCCAACAAGGAGGAAATTTTTTTTTTTGTGGTGGTAGGGTGGCCGACCGCTATGGGAGGCATTTCGAGCAAGGAGAGCGCACCATCAGAGAATGAGGGGGTCAAAAGCCACCTTCTAGGACTCCGATAAGGGGTGGAATAGGGTTTTCGGGTGGGGGGACAGCAGGAAGGGAGTGTCATAGTGGAGGTGGTGGGGTGGCCGACCATTATGGGAGGTCTTTTAGGAAGCGAGTGGATAACCGGAGGAGGGGGGCAAGCCAAGACATGGGGATCAAGCCATGTGAGGCGAGTAGAAGAAAGGTGGGATTCTCACCCTCGATACACAGGGAAACATGGAGGGATCACGACAATCGTTACACTGGAGGAGGAGGAAGCTATTGGAGCAGTGGCGATCCTAGGATGGGGAAGTTGAAGATGTTGATATTTGAAGGAGAGGATTCCCATGGGTGGGCATATCGGGTGGAGAATTACTTCAAAATGAATGGGTTGAGAGAGGAGGAGAAGCTCACGACCGTAGGGCTACGTCTAGAGGGGAAAGCCCTAGCTTGGTTCCAATGGAGGGAGGCTAGATACCCAATCTGCTCTTGGGAGGAGTTTAAGAACTATTTGTCGAAAAGTTTCCGAGTCATTTCAAAAGGAGACATACCGAGCAATTCCTTGTTTTAAGACAAGAGGTACTAATCAAGTGGAATGATCTACAAGAGTATGAAGCCACATGTGATCCATACAAGTTGATCGGGAGACAGTTCTCATCCTTCCACCTTAAGGACAAGGTGCATTTTTTGTCAGGGTAGGGGGGTGTTTGTATCATATGGCAGGAGGCAGAAGCAACAAGAGGGCTGGGCGGCCTGAACCAATCGAGCCGACCTGTCCAGCGGTAGCCAAACCAGACAAGGGCTGGGTGGAAGTAGGAGGGGAGCTAGGGGAGACATTCAGCTAGCTTTGTGGGGCCCAGAAGAGGCAATTAATTAAGAAAAGTTTTAATTACAATTAAGAGAAAATTAATTAGGGAAAGAAATCTGATTTGAATTCAAATCTGAGAGGAAATTATTTTGGGAGAGCCCGGGGGGAGTTAATGATGAGGACATCGACAGACGCTACCGACATGTTTATCGCCGGCGAAACCGCAGATCGTCGGCCACGATTCAGCGCCTCTACTTTTGATTGAGATGACATGATGTATTTTATTATTGTCTTGTTTGATTTACTGTTTTCCCATTTTACCCCTGTGGGGAGTTATGTTTCTTTGTAGCCCAGAGGGCAATTTAGTCTTTTTTCACTTTTATGAGTCAAGACCTATATATAGTGGTCTCTTGTATCATTTTGAATGGAATGAATATTTGAATGAAAATCTAGTTTTTGTCTCTTTGCTTCTTCTTCTTCTTGTCTTGCATGAGAGCTTGAAGTTAGAAAGGAGATCGAGAGCCCAAGGTGAGGGCGAAAAGCAACACCCACCAGTCATTGGAAGAGTCCGTGACTCGTGGTTTATCCCGGTATTCCGCTCTTCCTCATCTTCCCCAAAACCCGCCGGCCCCAAACCCATCCAACCCGTCGGCCACCACCCCTCCCTCTTGCCGCCGGCGAGACCTCCTCCTCACCGACCTCCTTTCCCCCATTCTCTACAACGGCTAATTTCGAAACTCAGGATTTGAAATTCGGAAACCTTCCAAATTTGGAACATCCAAATTAGGAAAGTTTTGACTCCGCTTTCATGACAAAATTCGAATTCAAACGGATTTTGTATTAATTCTCCTCACACATCATGCTTCCAATTTGGAAACCATCCAATTACTCCCCAAACCAATTTGCTCCTCTAGGTGCCGCCGGCCCCCATGCTTGGGTGGAGCCCATTAATGCCTCATTAAGGCATTGATTCCCCTTGAATTAGGAATTAACTCCAAATTATTTTCCCTCCTAATTTACTTAAAACTGAAATCAAATTTCAGTTTTAAGTTTTCAAACATTTTCCCCTCCCTCTATTGACCGCCGGCCCCTCCTCATTGATTTCCCCTCATTAATCCCACTTAATGCCTTAATTGCTAGATTTGAAATTTCAAATTCAAGTCATTTTTCCCTCCAATCTTAATCAAAACTGAAATTCATTCAGATTTTGATTAATCTCCCACTAGAAACCAATTAAACCAAATTGGTTTTCACGCCTTGCTCCTCCCCACACCCGCCGGCCTCCTTCTCCCCCGTGGAGCTTCGCCGCCCCTCATTCCCCCCCTCTTCCCGTCTCTTGAATCAAGAGTCTTAGAGGGAACAAAGGCGACTTCTTCCCTCTCCGTTTCAATGACGCATGGCGGACCCGAAGCTTGAGTGGGGTCTAGTATTCAACGCCGACGGGAGCATCAACGTCCTACGGTCGCCTTGCTTCGACGTAGGGTTTGAAGACGAAACTACCGTGGAGGAGTACTTGGAGAGAGTCGTGCCAATCCTTGCAAGCATCTACGACCGAAAACTGTCAAAGCACGCTAGGAGCCTCGACGGTCGTCTACGACTTCCATCCCAACCGGCAAATTTTCCTCCGACGAAGTTCTTCGGCGCCCTATCCCTAGTGGTAACTTCTCTCATCGCTTGGATCTTCTATCTCCGCCAAAAGTCCACTACATCTTGAGTGATACGGCCCCAAGGTGAACTTCTCATTGTTAAACGTTGGGTTTTGTTATTGTACTTTGCATATTAAATTCTCCTAGAATTTGGATTGAATCGGCTTGGTTAATCTCTATTGCGGATCTTTGGCCGAAGCAAGTTGATATTTTCAAATTCCTAACTCAATTTTATGTGCTAGTTTTAAAATTCATAAGAAGCAACACTTTCATCTTTTCTTTTTAAATTTCTAAGCAAACTCCTCGTAGTTTCACATCAGTTAATATTCATTATATAACTAGGAATTAAGGGGGAATTGTTTAGAAAAGTTTTAATTACAATTAGGAGGAAATTAATTAGGGAAAGAGATTTAATTTGAATTCAAATATGTGCAGGAATTATTTATAGAAAGAAGACTGATTTGGGAGGGAATTAGGAGAGCCTATTTAAGACTAACTATGGGATGATTTCAGATTATGCTTGATTTTGCTAGAATTAATTTTTCTTAGGTTGAGTGGGCTCAGGGATTTGGGAAATTCGGTCTACCTCTCCAATTGGAGAGTTGAATCTTCCTCTACAATTGAAGATCCAACTGTACCTTATGTTTTTCTTCGTAGTTCTTTAAATAAAAAAGGAGTTCTAGTGTTTTCTTCTTCCTAAATTTCTTGTGTCATTCTCTGATTTTACTAAAATTGCATCAACTTCGTATCATAATCCTATAAGGTTACGAGCCTCTTTGTAAAACTATAATATGAAATAAATTAATTTTTACTCGTGACTTATTTTTAGATAATATTGAAGCTTTGCCAAAAAAATTGCACAAATTCTTATTGAATTCAATAAAACTTTGATGAGGTTCTCACTAAAGGAGAAAAGAACATGCAGTAGATCCACAACAAACCAAACTAACATTTAAACTAAATATACACCATCATTTATGCTGACATTACGGCATGAGTACATTTGAGGAAAAAATTGACATAAACATGAAATAATAGTCTAAAACAATAAACTTCTCTGGTGCCTTGTAATGCAAATTTAAAGTGCTAATCATGTTAAACACCAAATTATTCATCTTTACACGAGTAATCTTTAACCCATGAATTCATATTAAGGTGCCTAAAACCATAAGATATTATCCAGAACCTGCTAAGGATTTGAAGGAAATATAATCACCCAAGCTCCTTAAGAAAGAATAGAAGAACATTATCAAAAAAAAAAAAAAACCATTTAATCTTTCAGCATTTTTTAAATCCCAAAACATGAGCATCTCGGACTAAATTCTACTAAGTCAAGCTAAATAAGGATGGTACAACTAACGGCTAAAAAACAAAAAGGTGATTACCTTCTGCTTCTTTCCTTTTGATGAGCTCTTTGAGTGAATTGTGTCTTCCCTTGCAGATCCTTTCCCATCTATTTGTTGCTTTTTAAACTTCAGAGTCCCGCCAACAACTTGATCTCCTTTAGTAATTTCTGAATCCTCCTGAACTAAAGAGGAAATTTCATTCAAATGGCCAACATTACTTTCATGAACTTCGCGTGCCCCACCAGTATCCCTAACCACATCCTCTCTAACAATCCCTTTTTTTGCTCTACGATTCCTACAATTCCTATGTTTTTTCAGCTCATGATATTCAGTAACGTTCCCAATTCCATTATCATTATCAGTATCAGGAACAGCAACCTGTTCATTTCTAGGTAAATCATCAGCATTCAAGTTCCCATTATCATCCCCTTCTTCCTTCAAGGTTAAACCATCCTTAAATGCCTCAGAAAACTTATCTGCATCACTCTCACTACTCTCATTATCCTCAGCCAGAGGCTCATAGTCAAAACTCACGCATAATCCTTCCTGACTAACATCCTTCAAGGCCTCGTCTTCATCATCAAATGCAGTCCGCAGCTCAGCCACTTTTTCCCGGTGCTTCTTAGACTGCTCATGATTCTTCCATTGCTTCTCGGACTTGAACTTCTTATTACAAACTACACAGTACATTTCCACCTCACCCTTCCCTTTCTTCTTCCTTTTATCATCATCATCATCACTCCAAATCATTTTGCTCTCTTCCAGATCATTCTTCGCCCAATCGGGCTCCTGGTACAGCATCGCCCTCTCCTTCTTCTTCCTCTCCTCTTCTTTCTTCCTCTCCCTCTCTTCAGCCCGCCGTTTCTCCTCTTCTTCGTTCTTCTTCATCTGCATATCCAGAACCCTCTTATCTCTCTTCTTCACAAAGGCAGCCAGCCCCCGCACTGCATCATTATGCTCCCTCTTGGCCTTCTTCCTCACCTTCTTATTTTCCTCCTCCATGAGCCTCCTTGCCTTCCTATTAGGCCCGGCAAAGGAATCATACTCATCCACCCAAGCAAAATCCATAACGGTGGAATACCCCAACCAATAACTGTAGAAGGCAGTGACTTGGGAGTACGGACTGTCGAGATTCCCGATAAGAGGCGCCGGAGCGACGGCATCAGAGGGAAACCCTAACTTCTCGGCGAAATTGAGCTCCTGAGCGTAGATTTTAGCAAACACGTCACCGTAAACCTTGAAGAAGCCCTTTCCAGAGTCAGTATACCCGGAATAGACGGACTTGGTGAAGAAAGAAAAGAGGTCGAGGTCGAAGAAAGACGAGCGCGATTTGGAAGCGGAGGAAGGGTCCGAGAAGAGAATCTGAGAACGGTGGGAGTCGTACCAAGCGCGCTCTTTGGGATCGGAGAGAACTTCATATGCATGCAACAGCTCTTGGAAGGCGGCGGTAGCGTCGCCAGCGCCGTTGGTTGCGCCGGATTGAGCAAGCTTGTCGGGGTGAAGCTGTAGGGCGAGGCGTTTGTAAGCGGAGCGTATCTCCTCCTGCGAGCAATCGCGACTGACGCTAAGTACATCGTAGAGACATCGTTTCTTCAGCTGCTCCGCCATTCCCGTGGGCTTATTCTACTTCCTGTTCTTACAGAATTAAAGCTAATTAGGGTTTTGGAGAAGAGGGGAAGTCTCGCCGTCGGCGATTTCTTCCCCCCGTTGGTCCGTTCTAAGAAACCTCAGATTAACAGAAATTATAAAAATAATGCGCTTATCTTTAACTAGGACTAAATACATATATAAGAAAAATAATTTTTTTCTAGGATATTTTTATCAAATTTCAACCTTGGTGATCAAATAAATTGCTAAGAAACCATGCCAACAAGCACCAAACACTGGACCACCAAGGTTACCCAACCTTGGCCATCAAACGTGCATGCAGTAAGACTGTTTCCTCATAGTCCTGATCCAAAATAACCATGACAGCCAAAAATGAGATCAACCAAAAACCACAACCACGAAAATAGTCACGGGAAAATCATTTCTTCTTAGTTTTCCTTTTACGGTTCCTGACAAAAGTATCAAACGAGCCAGTTTCCAAATTGCTATCAAAAGTATCATCCCCTCCAACAAACGACAAGTCATCATGAAGCCAATCACATTGCCACCGAACACTTTCCCCAGTAAGATGGGCTCTCAAATTAGCATTTGAAATAACAGAAATAGACACATCCACAAGAGGCACAATGCTAGCCTCCCCAAAGTCAACTAAGGAATCATCACGACCATAAGCTAAAGAACCATAATTAGTACACGATAACTCCACACCAACTGTATGAATATGACTCGCTCCAAAATTAACACAGTAGTTACTATTAAACAAAACCACACTGCCATAAGCCATAATCGGAGGACCCTCACCCTTACCAAAACCACACGGGCAACAGTGGGCAAGATCCCAACACAGTGGCATTATCCACCTTCAGCGGATTACCAAAGAGAAGCCCCAATCCATGCAAGATACGAGGAGAGAAAAAAATAGGGACGCAAATTAAGGAATGAAAACTAAATCGAGACAATGGAAGACTCATCCCCAATGTCATCGGAAGGAGACCATTTAGACACCTCATGAAGCAATTGAAAACTAGATAAGACCTATGACAAAATACCCTACTATAGTAAAGATCATTATCCGGTCTAATGATAACATGAGATGGATCCAACAAGGTAACAAAGAAAGCGCCATTTTAATGAATGTTGAAAAAAAAAATTTTGAATTGATGCAAGCGGAGGCCACCGCGAATGGAAGAAGCCAACAAGTGAAAACTTAAATGGTTCGGGAAGAGCAAAAAAACTCCTCTTCTGAAACCAAAAGAGCAAGAACGCCACAAAAAGAGGATCATATAAGATCGAAAAATCTACCAGGAGAAGATACCGTTAATGCCTCCAAAAACGAGCGGGACCTCGCCGATCCATCCTGAAAACCAGGATCGACTAATCGACAAACCGCCATTCTAGTAAAAGAACAAAAGAAAACGAAAGGGGAGAAGAACTTCCCTCGACGCGTGGAGGAAGAAACCAAGCACCGCTGGCAGAGAACAGTTAGGGCAAAGCCCTAGCCCACCACAGAGACAACGCCAGGAACATTTTTTTTTATCTTTGCATTATTTGAGACTATAAAACATGATGTTGAGTTAGTTTAGGTTACGTTTAGGATGGCTTTTTTGCTGCTTCTTAAAGCAGTGTTTTTGTTTAAAAGTTTAATTTTTGTAAAAAAATTGTTTTATGAAACAGTAAGAAAGTCGTCACAAACGAAGCCTTAATTAACTCAAGTAGTTGTTGATTTCAACCAAGCCTCACTATCATTATTTACATCATTAGTGTGCCGTCATTATTAAGGTTGTCATTATGAAATTTTTAATTCATTTATTTTTATTAAGTGATGCAAGAGATTGTCAATTTATGTTATATATTAAGAAAAAATTTACAATTATAAATTATAAACTAAATTCATATTATAAAACTACATTTATAAATCATTCATGTTAGATCATTTATCATTAATAAATAGATAAAACATAGTTTTTAATAATGTATAATTATAAATAAATAAATAAATAAACAATTAAATATGCTTAATCAAAAAATAAATATTATTCATATTATTAAAAAAATTAATTAGAAGTACATTAAAAGATAATATTATGTATATGTTGTGAACTTAAAACTTTCGATTAAATTATTTAGTCCACATAACATGAGAGCTTTGTTTTAGTCTAATGTATATAAATTTTTTTATTTGCATTTGTTAAAAGTTCACATGGGATCTTGGGAGTATTGATTAATTGGCAAATAATAATTATAAAAATTTAATGGTGCTTATAAAATTAAAATATATTAAATATAATATTTAAGTTAATACTATACACTAAATTTATTTAATTATTTAAATAGGATAAGAAATCAAATTCAATTCAATGATTGAATTAACAACTCTGATCGGTTCATTCTGGCTTGATATAAAGTTGATTTTAAGATAAAACGAACCGGCTATACGACTGGTTCACGAATGAGCTAGTCCAATTTTTGGGAAAATTTTAGTTATTATTTTTTGCTATTTTTAGAAAAATATGATTTTAAAAATTTGCTTTATAAAACAGTGAGAAAAATGCTCCAAATAAAATCTCTAACTTCTAAACATTTATGACACTGTTCTATTTTTCACAGTCCAAATGAAAATCATAGAACACAAATAAGCACTGATCAATTAAGTTCAGAAATCAGAACCGACTCTATATGCAAGAACCAAAGAATCTGTATTGGCTAAATTTTAAATGCATAGTTAATGTTGACTATTATTGCTGTGTCAAGAATAGAATAAGAGAGTTCATTATCTAACAACAACATCATCATCATCAACATCAAACCTTTATCACACTATAGGGTCGGCTACATGAATTCTTTCTTTCACCATTGCATTTAGTTAAGAGTCAAATTCTCATTTAAATCTAATAAAAATGACATTTCTAATATTTTTCTAACCAAGCATTTTTAGATCTATCTTTACCTTTCTTAACATAAGCTAAATCTAATACATCTACTATCCTAAACAAGTCATTAGAAGGCTGACATTTTTTTGTGACCAAATCATCTAAAACGACTCTATCTAATCTTATTTGTCACTGGAGCCACTCCAACCTTTTCATGTATATGCTCATTTCGCATTCTATCTCTAAGAGTAAAGCCACTCATCCACTTGTGCATCCCCATCTCTACAACACTTAATTATATGCTTCTCTTTTAATGGCCAACATTGTTCGCCAAAAAGTATTGACCATCTTATGGAATTTTCTCATAAATTTGAGGGATATTTTTCTATCACACAACATGTCTGATGCATTCCTCCACTTCAACCATCCAACTTTAATTCTACTAATAATATCCACATTTATTTCACCATCAACCGAGACAATAGACCCGATATATCTAAAATTTGTGCTCTTATTAATGACTTGATCTCCCAAAATCACAATCCGATCCACTCAAACGAAAACCTTTACAGCCTCCTTGTGTTTGAACACATCTAACAGCTCCTGCATACATATCCTTAAAGATTTGACTATAAGCATTATTAACCCCCTTCTTTTCTGAAACTCTCCATAGTACTTCTCTTAAAACTTTATCATAAGTTTTTTTTAAATCAATAAATATCATATGTAGATCCCTTATTCTCCTTATACTTCTCCATCAAATCTAAAACTCCATAGTACTTCTCTTTTAATTTATTATCTTAACATTATATGAAAATCAAATATGCATGGACAAAAAAAAAAATTATAAGAGACTAAATTTTTTATATGAAAAACTATATATATATATATATAGTCCGCATCGAAAGAGAGAAGAGCCTTACCACATTACAACTATCTTTAATAGACCATTTGATTATTTGTTTGATTGAACACTTTTGAGGAGTGACTAGAGACCAAGAAGTTCAATATAAATCATAATATTGATATTAGGAGTCAGGTTAAGTTTCAACGACATGCTTCAATCTTATAAATGATGACATGCATTGATATTGTTATTGATGACTAGTTATAAAGTCACATGCATCAATGTAACTAGGAGACAAATAGTTAAACTATTTAATGTCGAAGGGCCACAATTGATCGACAAATTTTGGAGGACTGTAATAATGTTATGATGGTCGGAGGATATATTCAAGCGACAATGGTCAGAGAATTGTAGTAGTGCAATAATGATCGGACATAATCGAGGGGCAGTCGTATGTCGATGGTTGAAGAACCGTAATCATGTGATGATGGTTAAAGAAATAGTTGGGTGACAATTTTATAATGCCCAAGAATCAAATTTAAAAGAATTCTTTCTTTTATTTTTTAATAATAACAATAACAATCAGAGCTATCTATAATTTTTACCAATAATATAAAATAGCAACAAAAAATCTATTGATAAAAACATCAATATACATATGTATTCATAATCCAAAATTATATACAATAGCAAAGAATTACACAATTACTACATACAGTCTATCTACTCCTCATTATAAAAGAAATAACTAAATAAAATAACATAAATGATCCTATTATTGATCAATCTCACGCTCCTGATCTCTACCCTAACCTGAAATCATTTAAACCATAATGAATTAAAAAATTCAGCAAACTAATAAATCCTACAATTGAACTCAAGCACAATAAAGAAGCAAAATTCGTAATGGTAGCAATCACTATGATCATGAACCTATGCATAAAACACAAAATTTATAAAACAGTAGAACAATCGATACAAAAACAAGTAAAACGACGCATTATAAAAGCAATAGAATCGATAAACCAATAAACTAGTAAATTGATAAATCAATAAATCAATATGGATGTCGAATCATATAAGCAGAAAACAATCCTCTCAAAATCATACGTCGTAGTAAGGAAACGAATAAATCAATAAACTAGAAACATCTATGAAAATTATTGGAATTTATAACTATACAGTACAATCAAATCAGTATACACATGAGAATCAATCATTCTATATCAATATCCAATCAGTATCATATATCTGATGCTCAATATAGAAAACATGCATTTAATAACAATAAATCAATAGTAGCATCAGTAATAATATACAAAGTCGACACTCATTGCTCGTCAGAACAGAAATAACTAATTATAACTTTCAATCAGTGAATCACGTAAATCAATCGAGGATAACACTAAATCTTAGTATTTAAAGAAAAGCTTATTACCATCATCATGTACAAGTCAATCATTCTCCAACCAACGTCAATAAAATTATCATTTACTCATCCTCACACATAGTACTATCACAATATTATAACAATAATAGCAACCAATTATTATTGAATCATACACTCATATTGATTTAAAATGCTTATATTACCAATCTCTATATATTAAAAAATATAATATTTATTCTAATAAATCATATAAATTATAATAATTTTTATTTTACCAATTGAACTTATGAAATCTTCAAGTTAAAATGCCCAGAATAATCACTACTATAACATATAAAAGATGTGTGATTAAAGTTCACTAAATCGAGAAAATGCAATAAATTCAATTTAAAAGAAATCAAATGGTCGAAATAAAAAAATTCAAAAACATAAATAGGATAACAGTCACATACCATAATCTGAGCAATTTTCACAAAAAATGCGAAGCAAGTTAATGACCAATATCCAGACTTTTCTTCTCTCCTCCTTTCCTCCCCTCCTTTCTACGGCTAGTCACAAAGCTAGTGGTGTGAGGGTCGAGTTAGTTGAGAGAAAACGGAGAGAATATATATATACACACACAAACACAACGTAATTTAGTTTGTAGCACTGTCGCGTAAACAACCAACGCCGCAACATTGCATTTTGAATTCATAATTACAGTAGAACAGAGACTTTAATGTCACGACAGGTGATGGAGGTTGTAGTCAATGGTCAAAAAATTGTAGCAGGATAATTGTACTCGAGAGGTTGTAGCCAGGTGACTGAAGTCAGAAGACTATAATAAAAAAATATTAGGATAAGTGCACTAGTCGGGGGATTGTCGTTGCAAGACCACAATACCAGAACGGGCAATATTGGTCAAAGGGCTATAATTGGGCGATAATAATTAGAGGACCATAACCAAACGTCAGTAGTCAGGATGCTGGTCAAAAGACCGTAGTTAGTCAATGGATGGTTGTTAGACTATAGTCAAGTGGTGTTACTCAACAATTTATATCCAATCGACATTAATCGAAAGGCCATAATCGAGCAATAATGGTTAGAGAGCTATAGTTGGGTAAAGGCGGCTAGAGGATTATAATCCGGTGTCAATGGTTGGAGGACCACCAACAAAATAACGTAGTCAGGCAATAATAAATAGAGGAATGTAACTAATCAATAGGTAGTCGAAATACCATATTAAGGAGAAAGATCAAAGGATCATATTCACACAATGATTGTTAAAGAACCAAAATTAGGCAATGATTATAGAAAAATTATAATCAAATGACGAATGTCGAATGATCATGAATCGATAATAATTGTCGGTCAATCATAATCGTGCAACAAAGATTGAAAGATGTTGGCCAATCGATGGTCCAACATCAATTGTGTTATGACAATGGAGATCAAGTAGCGATCTGGCAAAGATGGTTTGGCAATGGTACGACAGCAATGGTCAGTTGATGTTTTGATGACCCCAATTAAGAAGTGGTCTAAAGGCAACATTGGAAAGTATCTCACTGTTGATACCCGAGCGGAGCATCAAGATTCTTAAAGCCTTTAAACTTCCTTAATTCTCAAGCCAAGATCCTCCACCCTTCATATACAAAACATAGGCATATTTATAAATTTTTAAGATCAACATGCCACAAAAATATAATAAAAAATTATAATACGATCAAACAACCCATATTAATTCTCTCGATCATACACTATTCGTTTGGCATTTAAATACATTAATGAACAAAAAATTAAGTGATATTGAGCTCATTGATTTCATATCATCAACATACTTGATTTAATCATAAACATGCAAAACATAGAGATCATTTGAACTAATTAATATCTTAAAATTTCTAATACATTTCAAGTTCTTTATCCAAGCTAGCTTAGCACCTAAAATACAATTTTCAAATGTAATTAACATTTTTATCTTCAAGCAACAAAATAAGCAGTGTGGAGCAATACCTGAATACCTAAAGAAAACCTGTAGCAACAATCCAGTGAAATTCCCCAAGATGAATAAAGGAATGCTGCCATTGCCACTGCCACTGGCAAATCATCTAAGCACTTGTAAGTTCAAATAAATTTCAAGAACAAAGAACCACATCAAAGAGTGCTAATTAACAAGCAAATATCGGTGTAGAACAAACCATCTTGAATAAAAAAACAGAGGCCAAATTATGCAAAACTACTGAATAAATGCTGTTGACTAGTTTGAAGAACATTGCAGACTTCAGAATTAGCTTCATCAAAGGGGAAGAAGGTGGATTTGCCTAAGAAAATTGCAGACAAAACACCACCAAGTTGTTCTCAGAATTTGGAAGCTGAAAATCTATCCAAACAAAGGATTCAACTAAAGACTAATTCTATAGATCTAAACAAGTAATTTGCCAGTATTGTATTTACATTTTATAGTCATTTCTACTTCTATGTTATATAGTGTCGTTTTCAGTTTTTTCCAGCAACCATCTTCTTCCCCTTAAGCCAATCCTTGAACTTTTTTTTTTGGGTGGGGGAAACATTTTTCTTTTTCTGTTCACTAGCTATGATCTTGACGACGCCGGGTTTGCGAGGGATGGAAATCACAGTGTTGATGGGAATTGAGCCTCATGATTGTTGAGGCCTATACAGAAGAATTTTCCTGGAGAAGTGTTGCTGATCAGAAAATTTTTCACATCATCTTTTTATAACAACTGTAGCCTAAACCTAGATGAATGTATTAAAATAGATAAAGCTGTGAGAAGTAATAAAATTCAATACACTTGAATTTATGCATATAAAATGAATTACCATTTAGAAAGAAGTTTCTAGTTAAGTGTTAAATTTTACTTTAGATTCTCTAATTTTGAACAATTAAGATTGCCAGTCAGCTCATGAGAGCTGCATAAACCATATGATGATTTTAACAGAAAGCATAAATACTGAAATCATCTTATCACCACCATTACCTCAAAAGTTCTCAACTATGGACAAAAAGCCACCATAAAAATATGCTTCTCTCTGTTAGTAATGTATGCAAGATTTTCTTGGACTAAGAACTTCTACAACTCCATATTTTCAGGCCTTCTAAATGAACGCATGTCATAATCACAAACCTAATGGTTCCATAGTTAAATAAGATGAAAGGATTACGTGATAGGATACCCATAATATGCTTCCAAAAATGGTAGAAAAAAATAAGTGATAAAAGGTTTGTTTAAATGAAATTGCAGCAATTATAAAATCAAGGAGAGAGAAATCAGCAAATTTCTATCATGATTTGCAGTTCTATATAGGCAACCTCATTGTTCATCCATGTTAAGAGATTTAACCAAGTTAAATTAAGCCCAGTTCAATAACATTTAAACAAAAAAAGAATTAGAGAAAGATCCACATGTAATTTTGTAGATTTTTCCTTTACCTGGTAATGAAAGGAGCCAACTAATTTGTTGTTGGGCCGGCTCAACCATAATTTGTAGTTGTATTGGATGATACAAGATCCTTGGTTGGCGTCCCCCTTGGTGCTGGTACAGACCTTTTGTAAGCAGGAACTGGAAAGCCTGGTGGAGTACCCAAAAGATGCGAGTTAGTAAACTTCTTTAGGCTGAAGTTCTGAGGGGACCTCTGAATGGCCTTTGGGAAACCAGATGGCACGTCTTCAATCTTTTTGGGAACATCAATTCTTCCAATGGGCCAACCACCTAACATGTCAATTTCCATGTCAACTTCTCTTTCAAGAGAAGAACCTTGTGGCATATCAACCTTCATGTCGATTTCCAAAGAACTAACATCCCGGGGAATCTTAGAGTGACCATGTGTAAGATGCACCTTAGGCGCCGAAGGGCTAGTTGATTCAGCCTTTTCATCTCCATGAATAGCTTTCTTTTTCTTGAAATGTCGAAATACACCCCAAAGATACATATCCCCATCAAATACTGTAAGCAAATCACAAAATTTATATGATAATCCTGAGTGTTACCTCAATAAATGTAGTAAATTGTCATGCTACCTACAAATCTACAATCACTACTACAACAGTTTCATGACTGGATGAACTGGGAGCATTTGAATTAAAAATGAGCCATCCTCACCAAATAAAAGATGAGTTGACCATTACTTGTCAAGTCCAGTGACTCCTGTTTTCTAATCATTCAGCATATGTGAAAGGAGATTTGAAAGTGAAAGCAGAACAAAAAATAAAAAATAAAATCACATTTCACAGTATATTGGTGTGATTACAAACATAAACAGCAAGAACAATATAGAAATAGTATGAATAGCAGCACATATTGGGCAATGAAGAACTAATTTAAGAACACAACACCCAACAGTCGCTCCAGTGAATGCATGTAAAATTGATTCTAATCAAAATGCATGTCAACTACTAGAATCTTTCATGTATCTTCAAATTCTAGAAGGTAATCAGATCTCTTACAGTTACAGGACCTTGAAACAAGACCTTACATTTTATAGAAACCTTTTCCCGGTTATGCAAAATAATAAGAAATTTCATGAGATAATTCTGTAACTCACTCTGGGAATCAATTTGTAGTTGCGCAGATGTGAATATCAGTAGCTCAACATCTGCTACATCTGCTACGAAACCTTGTAATGCATAATCATGAGAATCAATGTGCTGAATAAAATGAGCATAATTTTCTTTATGCCTGCATTTGAAAAATGAATAGTAACATTAAATGGATCAGAATAACAGGAGTTAGTTTCAAGAAAGGGTGGAATGCCATAGAATAATTTAAGCCCAATAAATAAAAGATGCAACCCCGTTAACCTAAAAACTAAAAGTTAATGAGTAACAGAAACTATAGGTATATTAGAAACCAATCTCTCGTTTTAATTCTGATGTGGAACTTTTTACTCTCAGCACCCCAACAATTTGCCCAAATAAAAGATCAAGCAACTATTCAACATTTCAACCTAAAACGAAAGCTTTTTAACACTCAAATGACAAACACTTGGAGGTCAATCAATCACGTGGAAGCCTATGTGGGAGTCGAGATCCCTTTTGAATCTTGGTCGACCATGATACAAGCCACAAAGACAAATGAGAGTCGCAAACCACATAAAACATTTTAACTTTAGCTAAAGTATTGGCTCTGATACCATTTATTAGAAAAGAAATATGGAGCAGATACATGGTAACATCACTCTCATTTTACACATAATGTGGGATATTTTCAACAGGAATAAAATGAGAAAGTGTAAAATTATGTAATTATTATCAATCTTTAAATCATGAGAGATTACAGAAGCATACACCACCAACGGGACTAAACTTTTGAAGAGTTTCTTTATTACCTTTCTACCTCACACCTGAAGTACAAGGCCACATCATCCTCTGTTGGAGGACTAAGCTTAAAAATTTTTGGCCACACTCTTTCGCGAGAATGTATCTTGAACTGTAATGTTCCAGGCAAATGCTTTGAGGCATCATATGCTTTGGGAGACACTTGGCAAGGTAAATGCCCATTAACTGGACCATGGAACTGGGTAACCAAGTCCACCACCTCAAAAGCTCCCCTGTATAAAGAAAAGAAAGAATTATATACGAAATATATCAAATCAACAAGATTAAAGAAATTAATCAACACTTCTGAAATCTCCAGATCTGCAACAGATTTGCAGCTTACACTACTCAATGGAAAATGCACACCAAGTTAATGGTAATGCCACAAGGAAAGCTCAATATGTCCATGAATGGCATAGTAAAGCGTTGGAAGAATATGTCCGATCAGTTCTAAACATATCATGTTAGCAGATACTCGTAGTATAACGTGGTTAGGAGAGGCATTAGGTTTTTATTTTTTTTATCTTTGTAAATCGCTTATTAGCCGTTTCTTTAGTAATTTCTGTCTTTTAAGTTATTAGATTTTTTTTTCAATAAATACCCAAATCTTATATATGGAGGGGGAGTTTTTGGAGAACTAGTTTTAGGATTAATCCTGACAAGGGAGGGAATTCCTGTCCTTTGGGTGGGTTTCCCTAAATCTGGAGAGATGAAGAGTGAGGTTGTAGAAGAATCAGGGACTATCCTATCATCAAACACGTTTATCCCCATCCTTCTAAGGCCACAAATGCTCGTTGGAAGGTTCCAACCGGCAGCAGCCACCGTGCCCATCCTTCAGCCAAGACGCTGGCGGTTCAAGTTTTAGTGGATTTTCAAGTAGCTAGGCGGGAAAGTTTCTTGGTTGGCTTCTTAGATATGGTTCTTGATCAACAAGAAGCTGCTGTTAGGCAGCAAAGTTCAGGAGAAAGTTTGGCAAATTTCTAAGTGCCATTTAACTACAGAAACTACGTAAATAATCAATGGCCTTAGGCCATCTCCAACCAAACGCTAAACCAACATTTACCGTCCGCGAGCTGCTCCACCTGAACACGAAAAACCTACATTATTCTCGCAACAACAGGCAACGTGAACAGTGAGAAGCCAACATTGTTCACAAATGCTATTTTTTCCGTTGGAGAAAGAATATACCCAAAATATTCTTTTTTAGCGTTATGAAATGGAGTTCGGTTGGAGATGAGTTACAACATTTTGGAGTGGAAAATGAGCTTCAGTTGGATAAGCCCTTAGACCCCATGTGGCTCAACCACCTTATATAGGAAATTTGCAAGGAAGCTAAACCTACAACCGTCATTAACTTTTAGCTACAATCAGGTTCTCTCTTTTCTATTTTGCTCTAATTGACTTTCTTTTCTTGAAAACAGTGAATTTGTTATCAGGTTTTCTTTTTTCCACGTAGTTTGTTCATCATAGATTTTTTTTTTTAATGGCTATCTATTTAGTGTGCTTCGCACTTTGGTATGTGGGTTCGAACAACTCCAACCACTAGTTTAAGTAATTGATGTTAGTGGGAGCTGCTATTTTCTTCTGACCGCAAGCTAACACAGCCTTCAGTTACTTGGGAGTGAGAATAAGATGAGAAACTGTCTTATTTCAAGTTTGGAAAGTGGAACCTTATCTGCTTTCATTTTTTTTTTCTTTTGTGTTGTAGACGACTGAGTGAAAATTTTGTCTTGGGTTTCTTGTACATTAAGTGGGACTTAATACAATTGTTTAAATCTATTTTACATGAATATCAGCTAGAAGAATTCAATCTTTTCCCTTCTTAGTGCCGTTATCAACATCAAATTTTGATATTAGAGCCTTAGTTTTAGGGTGCCATCTAGGTAAAACTAACCCCGCAAAACCAATAAATAGCTATGGAAGAATTAAATAATAAAATTCAGCAATTACAAAATAAATTAGCGCAGTATGAAAGAAGTGAAGAAAACCCCATTTGTTTCATTCAGATAACAAACATTTGGATCAAGAGATGTGAAACCCTTTCCACCAAGCACTTCAAGAATCATCCAAATAGGATGAGCCTTATCGCAGAAGCGAACCAATGATACGTTCATAGATTAGTTGTATACAATAGAGCGTGTATTCAAATATAAAGATATATCTACTGATATGCGCATAAAACTGGTAACCAATAGCCATCGTCAAGAAAAATTATTTCCATTTCGGGGGAAAATCTTAAAAATGAAGGGATAAATAGTGTAGGAATAAACTCATTAAATGGGAGAAACAAAAAAGAAATACATAAAAGGTACTTGCAATATAATTTTAAACAAGATGCCTTCATTGAAATTAATAATTTCCAATAACAAAATGTGGGTTCCAAAAATTAGCACCCCGGCCTCTCCGCGCCTCTTTGTTGACGGGAAAAGCTTTAACGGATTTAGGTTTTGGGGTAAATTTTCAAAAGGAAGATTGGATTTTAGATAAGATACTACCCAGAGATTTCGCTCTCATTTTACAAGGACTTTATCATCTGAGTTATGGTTCTCATAGGCGTAAACTCCTATGATTAATTATTCATCCCGATAACAAGAAAAAATTTTCAATCAAGGCTAGCCGTTCAATAGGTCGCAATAATTACCTAACGTATAATAATAACAATTTTAGGGTTTGAATTTGGTTTTCAATTTTAGAGTTTAAGATTTGAAATTTATCATCATATATTTAAAACATGTGATGGGGGGAATGAAGACGAGCCCTATCAAGATCCCATGGCTCCATCTTCGCGGGTTGTCATGGTCTCTAGAGTCTAGTATACTTAGTCAAAGGAGCTAGTGGACTCAACCTGACTGAAAGAACCTTGTCAGCAGTAATGTATTTCTTTGTCCAAGAATACCTTGTCGACCTGAGGTGAATGTTTGTCTAAGATGGTGAATTTAAGTCAACCTTAGCTAACATAGGGATTTAAATCTTATAGAATTCACCCTATGTTGACTTTTAACCATTAAGAAACATAAGGGCTTTGGCCATGACCGTAATATAGTGGTACTATTTTGCAACAAAATCATCTAATCGGAGGGCAAGTGTCATGTCTTTGCCGGCGATAAATCAACTGAAAATGAATTGTAGTAATACATCACACAAGACCTCTGCTCTTTGTGAGCTGAAGTTATTCTCCAATTCATCATCCTCGACAAACTGATGCCAAGTGTGGCAGGATTTTAATTTTAAATTAATTGTTAATAAGATTTTCATTTAAATGTTTATAATTTGATTATATTTTAAAATTTTAATAGGAGTTGAGAGTTGAAACCTTCAGTTGAGATTTACATTCAAAGTGGTCATCATTGAGATGGTAGAACACTTTAAAATGCTTTTTTGGATTTTCATAAAAATTTTGAAAAGCATTTTAAAATTATGGGATCCCCTCCGATTGAGATTCACTTTCAACACAGTCATCATCGGGGTATTTGAGCATTTTTAGCAAATTTGCAAAGCATTCCCATATCTTGTATTTATAAGCTTGACGTAAAGATCAGAGCACATGCAGAACTTGTTTTAGAATATTGAACATAGCTATTGTCGAGGTATTTGAATAATTTTAGTGAATCCATGAAGCATTCTCGAACATCTGGATTTAAGAATCAAATATGGCGATTGGAGCACATGCAAGATATATTTTCAGTAATTAAGTATCCCTTGTTATCAAATTTAACAATTTGGATATGATCTTCCAAATATGGATGGAAGGATAGAAGAAAAACCCAATTAAGGTCATCAAAATCATTTGATACTTTTTTATAAGGTGGATCGATAAGATAGCCCTATTAATTACTTAAATTCTTTCTCATCATCATTTGTGAAGTCTTATTAATATTTATTGCACATTGCATTCTACGTAGCTCAAGGCGGTGTGTCCACAAGACTTGGACTACTTTATGTAATATATCAAATCAATAAGTAATTTGATAGGTCCAATTCACTATTTCATTGGCCATATTATTTCCCTAGACTTTATTTTTGAAAAGCCTTCTAGGATACTTAACCTCCCAAAACATAAACAAAAGTGATTCATTATCTTCTCAATGTTAGAACATTATAATAACTGATTGACTTTTATATAGGAACTTATTTAAAGAAAAATAATGATCATTGAAAATAATGTCTTGCCTCAACTTAATCTTACGTGTTTTGAAGAAGTTCACCTATTCTCCCTTTAATCAAGCAATTATTTTTATCATGGCTTTGATTTCAAATTGAGAATATTTAGGTTATCTGTTCGTTAATGAAGAATTATCAGAAGCCTACACAAAAGTATTTTGTTATATATCATACTGATGATGATCACTATACAAAAGAATTGGTTAACCACTAAAAGCATCTTGGAGAAAAACTCAAGGAGGCTCCTCAAGGGTTGAGAGATATATAATTGCCTGAATGAATCATGACTCTCGAATCATTTTGATTAAACGATAATATTCAAGAATTACATTTATGTTATTTTCATGTTTAAAACTGCATCTTTAATTATCCACTCATAAAATTCTTCTAAGACAGTTGGTGGCCACTACCAAACACTCAGCCAATAAAGTTTTCTTCAATGCCGAAGTGGATCTCAATGTCACGCAAGTCATCATATAAAGACTTGGTTCATTGGTATTATTATATTTTTGAATTGATTTTTGAATGTTTGAATGACAAAGAAGTCAATGATTAAGTTTAAAAGCGCATTGACTTCAAATCCCTCTTAACTTTAGAATTAATCTTCAAAATTATATTTTATTTATTATATTTTTTTTATTAGCCATTTTCACGAAAATCTAGCAACCTCTCGACATTCCCTTCCCCGCAAGTTGATAATTAGGAGGCACTTGCCGTTGTTCTTCTTTTCCGAATCAAAGATACGAACAACGCGATGTATTTAAATCAAAATTTTCCTGCTCGATCAAATATTGATGTAGACAAAGGGGGAGCAACTCATGTCAAAAAATAATTAGATTTTGGCTTCCCTTGAGTCTACTAGCTTTAATAAAAATGTGAGAAGCTGTAACCGATGTTGTTAGCTATTGTATGAGCTGGTCTTTAGTTCACTTATTGAACTAAGGGTTAGCTCATTATTAAGCTATTGATTTTAGCTCATAGTTATCTTATATTAAATGTTCTTTTTATGTTTTTAATTTTGTAATCATGTATGTCTCTTGGAATTCCAAACCGCCTTTAGAATCCCAAGATTACTTTTCCCATGAGTGGCTCCTTGGCTCCTCCATGGCCTTTAGTATTTTGTGCATTTGCCCCCTTGGATTCCGGCCGGCTGCTAGTTTTCCCGTGCCTGGGCTCTTTCTCGTAACCATGCCCCTTGGTTCCCGTGGATGCCTCTTCGGTTCCTTGGCTTGGGATGTTTTTTAGGTATTTTAATGCTATGTGATGTTTAGAATTCCTATGGGAATTTATTAGGTGTCTCTTGGTATTCCTCTTTCATACCTATAAATATGTTGTAATGTTTAAAAAAAAGTTATGAAATGTGATTTTTGGAAAAGCTATAACCTGCGGGTTTGCTTTGGAAATCCTGTGGGCTCTTTCCACCCTTTTTTCTCATCCCCTCCGGAAATCCTGTGGGCTCTTTCCAACCTTTCTTCTCGGGCTTCTAACCTCTTTCGTCTCTCCACAAGTGCCACTCCACCTGTATCCTTCTTCTCTAAGTGAAACAACTTTAGGGTGCCGTCAAGTGATTGAGTCAAAGTTTGTAAGTCGGTTAAATTTTGCAAGAGTCATTATTGTAAGTCTTTTGATTTCTAGTTTTTTACATTTTATTTGAAATGTAAGAGTTTGTTCTTCCCTTTTCTCATCCTTAGTCATTTTCGTCGGTAGAAGTCCAGTCCCTTTATTTGTGGGCGAAGGGTATAGGCACCCCTATATTTTTTGCCCGCATCAAATATACAATAGCATGAGAGCTTCAAATCAAACATTCCTGCCCGAATAAAAGATACAAAAGTGCAGGTCTTCAAGTTAGTAGTAGATGTTATTCAATTATTTAATATTTTTTTGAAAATCCGGCAACCTCCTGACATTCCCTACCTGCAAAAGGAGGTTAGGATGGCATTTGTCGTTTTTCATCCCGCTCAAATCAAAGATACGACAGCGCAAGGTCTCCATATAATCATCTCTCCTGCCCAGATCAAAGATACACGGCACAGGTCTTCAAATTGGCAGGTACCTGTTATTTCTCCCTCTTTTTATTTATTTATTTTACAAACACTCTCTCTATTTGATTTGTATACTCATATGCAGTAGACAGGTACAGATGATGGTAGGTTCAATCAAGTGGAGTCGATTGGGATTCTTGTGGCAGGGGGAAATCAGGTCGATCGGGATGAAGCAGACTACGAGAATACATGCAGCCGAGGGCTAGGGATCAGGCTGGTGATCGCGTGCGGGAGCAAACAACTCGGGTAAGAGATAGGGTGCGAGGGAAGGCTGAGAAGACGAGAGGGCAAGGAGCTCTAGAGAGTTGTTCCTGAGCACTTGAGTGCGAACGGACCAAGAGAGTAGCGAGCACGTGAATGTCGAATTAATTAAAAGGGAACAATTCTTCTGAGAGTTTTCTTATCGTGGGGGAGTTACATAAGGGAACAGATGTTCCATTTGGGGGTGAAATGGCATGTGGGGCCGGGCTGGTTAGCAATCAACACAAAGTTTGTTCATAGAGAAGAATAAAAAGCTGCATTTGAATAACTAATGTTGAAATGCAATGCTATCAAATCTGAGGAGCATACTATTACACGGTTCATTGATGTTTGCATCCTACTATTACAAATATCATATAAATACAATAATATTGGGCGTTTTTTCATATCACCAAATTAAATCTATCTACTTAGGAGCCTATAGCCTATAAAGATGATACTGGATAGATAAAGGAAAGGAGATTAAAAGTAACAAAAGAATATCAAGTGCAGTTTTTCATAGATAAGAAATTGCAAGAGTGATACAATGTGATTGCCATGGATGCCTTTCACTTATTATTATGACGACCACAATAATATAACAGACATACTATCCATGATGGTTTTAAAAACACTTTATCTATAAAATATGAAGGAAAGGTGGTGGTTTTGATACCCATGAGAGATTTATCAAGTCCTAGATTTTTCTAAAAACAAGTGAAAGACCATCCTACCCCTCCTTCATTCCAAATAGAAGGATAGGATTAATGACAAAAATTTTTAGGGGATTTGAAGGCTAATTCGGCTAAGTAATTAATCAATTTTATTAGATTTGTATTTGGGTTGATTTGGTTTGATTCGAGCTAATTAGCGTCGATTTAATTTAGGTTTGGGTCGATAGCGTTTAATTGAGTCGATTGAAGTACGCTCGATTTGAATTTAATCAATTTGATTTCGTGCGTTTAAATTTATTTAAGTAATAACCAAATTAATTTTTGATAATTTCAGCCTCGAGCATAGTCAAATTAACTCGTCGAGGCCCAATTAAATTTACTTGATTATTAATTATATTGATTTGGGCTTGAATCAACTCAATTTAATGATCAACGACAACATCGAGGTCAAATAAGGCTCGAATTGAGTCAACTCAAACTCGACATTGTCGAATTAAATTTATGCAATATAGTCGACTTCAATTAACTCAAATTCGGCTCGATCTGAAATTTATCGGCAATCAACAGGACGGTTTGGGTCACCAAAATTGAGGTCAACAACAGTCACATTGCATTGCTCAATGCATTCAGATAACAAGTTAAGAAGATAGAAAGCTGCACAAAACAATTATGCCTTCATTATTAATGCTAACTATCTCAGTATCATGCCACCACGCCTTTTTGTCGTTAAAAAAGTATATTAACAAAAGCATTGAAGCCAATGTTTCAGATACTCTCTAAATCTTGACAAAAAATAAACACAAATCAATTCTTTAAAATATTTTTCTGCATTCTGAACAAAATCTTGACATCGGAATAGAAATTTATAAAAACTTTGAAAAGATGCTTTCATCAAGAAATAACATTTTAATAACTTTGCAACAGATTTATCATTTGCCGGTTTCTTTCCTTAGTATTTAGAGTACCACAGTTAACACTGAGGAGAAAGGAATACCTCCAACAGGCTTCTACAGCATGATGAAGCTTTTCATCTGAACTAATAACCAATTTGAGTGGAAGCAACATTTTTTTAGATGAATTTTCGGCAGTGCCTGTCATCAATATGTAATAGGTAATGTACAACTGCAGAAGTGGAATATGAGGAAAACCATGAAAACCAGCAGGTTCACAGATCATGCTACTTCAAATCTGTATCTCTTTATTCTAGGAAAAGTAACTTGCCTGAATCGTGAACTGGCAGTACATTTGCATCACTTTTATCATGCAAATCTCTTTCTTCCTTGATAGCAATAGAGGTATTTGCAGGTTTTTCAACAAATAAGCAGTCATCCTGAGGCTTCAGAGGTGCTTTATTTTCTGAAAGAGGTCACAAAACTGTTGAGAAAAATTAATAAAAAAGGGACTGAATTAACAGACTACCACAGATCAAAGCTAATTGGCACTTTAGATAGCATACTAAATCATATGTTTTCCCATTTCTTTTCGCATATCTCAAATAATATTATCACATTTTGAATGAAAATTCTCACTTGAGCATGAGATCGCTATTCTGCGATAACTTTCTTTACAGGTGTTGGATAGACATGTTTTCATAAGTTTTTCTTTTTCTTTTTTCAATATATGGGGACAAAATTTATGTATCAAAGAGAAGGCTGGTAGTTGAGCTGATGGTAGTTAACAAAAACTATATAAGTTAACATTTTTTAGATGAATCTGATTTCATTTATAGAAGGAGAAAACATATAATTGCTTCCAGTAATAAAAATTTAGGTCTATCCAGAAGTTTTTCAATAACGAATCATAGATAATGCCAAGATTTTATAGGCTATGCACATTATTATTCCCAACGATTTAAAAATGGAACTGCTTTATCTATTCCACCTATCAAAGAGCTTGAAATAGCTTTATAGTATCGTTCTCCCCTTCCAGAAAAAATGTCATTGGATTGCATATAAGTAATGATTTAAATGTCAAAAAAATTTTGATATTTAACATTTTAAAGTTAAGGAATCAAGTATTAGCAGGTGAAGTAAAGAATCATTGAGAATCAATGGAGAAAGACATGAATATTTGATGATATTGGTTAATATTAACATGTTTGAGAGGAGGCTTAATATACAAATAAATCTTCATCATACCTATATGTTTATCTACCATGCTTATCTGTCCATCATCAGCGTGCAAAGTATCTACAGTATCAAATATAACCTCACTTGGTTTAGAAGAAACGTTACAAGCTAAAGTACTAGCTTTTCCTACAACAGGCTCCATTTTGAAAACTTGGGCAGTAGTCTTTCCTGTAAGAAAATTTAAAATACAAAGTATGCAAGCAAGCTTAGCACTGAACCATCCACCAAATTTTGTAGGAATACCTTCTCAGATAGGCATATATAAAACTAATTAATGACATCTAAAGTTCATTTAGATTATGCCTAACCTTTTTCCTTACTAACAGGTTTTGATGCCATAGTGTGCTCTGAAGGCTTAATGTCAATGACGTCAGAAACAGACCCTTTCTTGGGTGTAAAATGGGTTTTATTAGCGTTTGAACAGAGTAATGTAGGAGCAACTGTCTTCCGTGATATTGAGGGAGGCTTAACATATGCAAAATCACTACGGTGTCCAGAAGCACTTGGATTTCCTCTTCCATGTGACCTTTTCCACGATGTCAGTGTAACCACTTCTTCGTTGGTAATAAACTTTACTTTGCCAGCTTCAATTTTCCTCCAAGTTCTATTGTGCGAAAATTGGTGAGCTGGTAAATGTCTTTTACTAACAGCTTCAGCACTCCGTAAACATTCCTCACAGCGCCACCCATTTGGAACTTCGAAACACACAGAACTCATACAATACCTGGAAATATTTTAAAAAAAAACTAAATCAAACTATCACTATAAGAATCTAGAAACCTGATACTTGCAGGGAAAACCACCTATTTAACAAACTTGGTTACTGCTAAAAGACATTATAAATCTTATATGAAAAAAAAAAAGGTGGGGATATCAAAAACATAACTTATACAGTCAACTAGTTTAAAACTTAAAAGGAAATTTCAAAGTTGCAATTAGATTGGCTATACGATATGCATGCAAAAGTTGGGCAAAAAATTGTTGAAAACTATTAAAATAATCCCAAATATGTGGCCAGCATATTTCCACCTAGAACAACTCAATAATATGTTGAAAACACCTTTACCTCTATAAATATCCAATAATCCATGAACAACTTTTCATCTACAACAATCCAAATATATGTAGACAGTAGCATTCCATTTTTATCTGTAGTTAATTTTGAATTATATAATTAAATATTGATGTCCATATTTGTTTTTTTCCATAATGATTATATCTCTATATATTTATTGATAACTTATCATCTTATTTTATACATAGAACAAGGAAAATTCAATATTACAATTTTCCATTTTTACTCTCCCATGTTCTTATAATTTTCAAAATGGTATCTAAGTCATTAAGGTTCCACTCCTGGAGGTCAAAGGGTTCAATATGGCCTCTCTTCTCCATGCGGACTGGTCCTCCACAAACACAAAAAGGCAAAATTCATCTAATAAGAGTGGCAAAAATATATGTGAAGCATTCACTTGGAAAGAAAAAAGTAGAAACTTCCGCAAAAAAGATGATGAAAATTGCCATGAACAAGCCAGTGGTGAAGGAGCCAGAAACTCTGACTCTAGTAATCAGCTTAAAACCAAGATCCAAAACATAAAAAATCCATAATGAAATACTAGGCTAAAAATTTCCAAAGAGAAACAATAACAAAGACAATTGTGCCAGCTCTCTCCTTTCTGCTCCTGCCAATTGAACAACATTAATCAAATGCATTCAACTATTCTCCCAGTAAAAGCATATTCTAGAACATCAATGAAATAATCTTGGTTTCTTAGAAAAGTAAATTCCCATACGCCCTGATAACAAACAAGAAGCAAACTACAACTTGGTTGGTAGATTCAAAAGCGTTAGATCATATGACGAGAAAAAATGACTTTCTCAATTATAATCTAAGTCATGAAAATTAAAATGTTTAAATTGCATATGAGTTACCATCAAAAAGGTCGAAATAGATTCGGTCACTCTCTCAAAAAAAATCTGGCACTCGACTCCATGCTGCTAGTGCCTGATTAGATTATAAGTTACTATCAATCAGAAAGCTCACTTGTCACAATTGTATACCTAATTTTCATTTAATCTTCATCACTTTCAGGACTTGAACCTGCGGAGAGCAAATGAGCATGGAAGAACACAAGTTGCATGAGCGCGGAGAAGCATGCAAGTTGTGCGAGAGCGCAAGTTATGTGCAACGCATAGATAAGCAGAACAAAGTTAATCGGCATCGTGTGGAAAAGCAAGGCAAATCAAGCATTCACCGAGATGAAAATTTGCTAGAATTCTTTCATTGCTTATAAAATAAATGCAGGAAAACTATCTCATCTATTTGGTTTGGTATAAAATGTAGAGCATGATGAATCACTAAAATATAACAATAAGGGTTCCTCCACTTCGATAAATGATTTATGCTTTATTACGGTAAAGGCATCAAAGCAAAAGACTTGGTGACCTCACAAGAAAATTTAAATTAACCGCATTCAAAAATACTCTAAAAGCTTAAGGCTTCTAGGAGTATGAATTTGTAGCCAAAGAAATAAAAAATGAAACTCCTGATAATATTGATTGATTGGTTGCATGAGTTACTTCTACTTATCAATAAATTTATGCTTCATCAGTTCATTTGTTATGAAATAAAATTTTCTCAATTTATTAATAATGTAAGCATAGTTGTCACCAAAGCTAGAATTTTACATAATCGTGCGAAGGTTACCAAAAGACTACTAGGGGTAGTGAGGGTAAAATTCAACAATGATGTCCTAGTGCAAAAGCTGTGAAGTTAAGAGACTAGGTCCAATGGTACAATGCAAGCAACAACAGTAAAAGGGCAAATAAGTGATGACGTCTGAAAGCATCATTATTAGAAGGTAGCTGGAGTTGAGGCAAATGCCTTTCTTGGCATGAGGCTCCAACTTCCGATAGTGCATTTATGATTATTATTACCACGATGGGCTTGCGATGGTTTTCAAATAGACGAGTAAAGAATGTGAACCAGGTAATAAGAAAATCATTGAATTCAACATTTTGTTTTTGCAAGTAAACTCTATTTTGAGGCATTTAAAATACTTATAAAGTTTATTTAATAAATTTTACTTTATATCAAACACTTAAAAAAATAAAATTCCTACAATCCATTTACTTTACACCTAGAAAACATAAACTAAACAACACCTATAAGTACTATGAAAAGAGTTGTTAGAGTTTGTCATACATAGCTTTGACCTCTTGTTGAGCCTCTCAAATTAGAGGGGCAAGACAAGGACCCTTAAGTCCTAATATGTTTGGTATAGATCTAAATCAACACTTTCCTTTATTGAGGAACTTAACAATCAACATCCATTCAAGTGCCTTGTCACCAGATTAGAAGCAGAATTGGCAGCTATATCATGATTAGATTCATCTAAATATAATTCCTTCGACAGTGATAGGAATATCAATTATATTCAATTCATCTAAATATAATTCCTTCGACAGTGATAGGAATATCAATTACGGGATCGTCCGAAAATCAAATCCGACGTCGAAGAATTGGGAACGGAGGATGTCGACCCTTCCGTTGTCGTCGTACTCAAAGCCGTAATTCCACTCTTGCTCGTCCATGCATCCTTGGATTGGATCCGGATGGTCGCCGCAAGAAAAAATCTTCCAAAGGGAAGGTGGACGGCGGCTGGCTAAGGAAGGGGTCGCCAGCGGGAGAGCAAGGAGGAGGGGGCAGCTTGGTGCACGGCTGAAATTTGGTTTCAGTTTGGAATCATTAGGTGGGAGAGTTTAGGAAATTTTGGAATTGCAATTGATGTCATTAAGGACATTAATATGGGATGGCAATTGGGGAGCATGCACGGGAGCCGGCGGTAGAGAATAAGGCTGAATTTGGAGCTTAGTATTAAGTGGGAGAAGAAAGCCGAAAGAAGAGGGCCGGACAAGCTATTAGAGGGAAATAATTAGTAGGGGTTATATCAAGTTGGGCCCCACAAATATTAGAAAACAGATTTAAAAAAAAAAATCTGTAGGAATTTAGTCTTCAAATAAAAGGAAAGTTTCCTTTTATAAGCAAACAGATTAAGCAATTTGAATTTCAAATTAGTTTTGAAATTCCCATCATAACAATTGCTTAAATTATGGATTTACTTTAGGTAAGTAATCAAGCCTCAAAGATAACCGTAAAGCTTCAAATTCATACGCTAGAATAATGGGCTGTGAAGGCTGATTGAAAGATTAGCTAATCAAGCATTAATGGCTTGATTTTCCACGGCTGGAGCAACACAGCAACTCACGGCAGCAAGGGGGGGGGAGAAGGCTGCAGGAGAGGGAAGCCGTGGCCAGCACCTGGGAAGGCTGGCCGGCGGGTGATTCCAGCCACAATGGCCGGCGGCTCTGAGCAAGCTTTGCTGGGCGGCGGCAACTGTAGGGCTAGTGATCCAACTTCTCTCCAACGGAAGGTGTGGGCGGCGTGCTCGAGGATGAGGAGTAGATCGAAGAAACTAATGCCCGGAGAACTCACAAAGAGATCTCATGATAAGAACTCACTAAGAGATCCTTGAACTCACAAAGAGAACAACAAAATAAAATTTTCATTCATCAATTCATTAATTCAAATACAAGATACAATGGCCATATAAATAGGCCCAACAGAAAATAATGCGCAAAGTCTAAAATGCCCCTTGGGGCTACACAAGCAACTATTACCCTCAGGGGTAAAATGGGAAACTACGAAAATACAATCATAAAATGAAAACTGAAAATACAAGTGAGATCAAAAATAAAGGCTAGCAATCTCGGCCGTCGATCTCCGTGGTCGTCTCTGATAAGCGCGCCGAAATCTCCTATCGATGACCTCATCATGACGGGTCTTGCTTTGCCCTCACCTAGGGATTTCACATAAACTCTCACAAGAACTCTCAAGGCTCTCAAACACACCAGGACACAAAGTGTAGAAATTTTTATTCATAATAATCATCACCCTCCCAAGGGGGAGGCGAAACCTATAAATAGACAAAATACAACAAAACATCAAATGTCAAAAGTGCCCCCCTTGGGTCACATGATCCTACTCCCTCAAGTGAGGGTTAAAACAAAAAAATACACATAATAAATCAAACACAAACAAATGCTCATAAATAGAGTAATCTGATCATAACCGTAGATCTCCGGCCCAACTCAGCCGGATGTCCTCATCACCTAGTTTATAAAACACCATTAAAAGTTATGATATATATATATATATAAGGTCATTTGGTTCCTTGAAATTAGACATTATATTTTTTAAAAAACAATGCAGTTTATTAAATCCAACATTTGGTTGAATTTAGACGCCAACATTGATTTCAAACTCCATAGACCTCAAAATTCTCTCAATGCGGTGATTTTATTTACACACTGAAAATGACTGAAAATAAAATCATTGTTTATATTTTCTATTTACAAGAAACCAAATGAGCCTTGAAAGAAATCAGAAATCCCCCTTTCTCTATCTGATGACACATCAAATTATCTAGTCTGGATAATGCTCACATGATGATACCAATCTTGGCATTTCTAACCTGTTTCTTCAGACATTGCTTTACAATCATGATTAAACAGATTCAAGGTTAAAAAGTTTGTATTTCTAAAATAATGGCGCATACGTGTGTTCATTGTACACTTTGCAAAGAGAACAAGTTGCGATGGAATCAGCAAACCCAGTATGACCGCATGTATGGCAAACTTTGTCCTGGAAAGTATAAGTTGCACCAAAAAATGGTGTAAGATTTCGCTGAGGTTCACAGAAAATCTAATTTGTAAATGGTAAAACAAAACATACATATAAGAAATTTCTGGAAGTTGTTTTACATTATGCAAAAATCAAGCAAACTTAAGAGAATATCAAAAAGTAATTTAAGAGAACTTCAAAAGTATTCGATCATAAAGATAGCAGAACATGAATTGGATAATGCTTCACACCCAAAATAAATGCACAAATAAAATACGGTTTCCTTCAATTCTGTCCAACTTCCTCATTTAATTAAGCCCCAGCTCACTCACAGAAAATAAATGACAACAACTGCCATATCAATATCTATTTTAAGAATATTTCTTTTGGGAGTGTAGCATTGCTCTTAAGCATGTAAGATCCAAAATGGCAAGCACTTAATAGGTGTTCTCATTTTTTGGTTGAACAATTGCAATCCTCGTATCACTAAAATAACCAGTCTAATATTTAAACTAAATAAATAAATGCAAATTGCACTCAGAAGAGAAATGCATTCGATGATCGAGGTAGCATGCAAATTAGATGAGACAGGAATATTAGAAAACAAATATGCTAGCAACTTTTGGAAATAAAATTACTTAAACTACCTGCTAAGCTCTCATTAGAACATCATTAAACATGCCCTTATATTTTACATTTAGGACGGGTAATCTAAAATTTCACCATAACTTGAGAGGGCCAGTGTGACTCGTGATGTATGCAAAGGCAGGTCATTCAGTAGATTATATCAGGATAAAAGAACAAAAGATTGTGAAAGCAGGAAAAAGTTCAAGAAAGCTCGTTCTATAACAAATCAGATACCTATTTAAAAAAATTAAATGGGTCTAGAATAACATCTGACCATCTAGAACCCCTTAACTCATGAATCCCCACCAACCACTTTTGATAACCAAAAAAAGTCTTGGATGATCTGCTAAACTCCAGGTAATGTTACCCAAAATCAAAGCCCAAAAACAATGTTCAAGCCCTAAATTAGCAATAATCCCGGGGAAAAGGAAAACCACCACGTCAAATTTTCCAGACTTATAAAATTTTGGCTCTGATGAATTATTAAGCCGTTAGTCCTCCAAGGGATTACCAATAGAAACATGATGTGCGGTGGAATTGAGAAAATGATAGGAAATAGGATAAAAGAAACAAAAGAGATATCACAGAAAATCATCAAGGCATCTCAGTAAATCCTTAAGGAAAGAAAATTTGAAAACTGAAAAAAGATTGCAGAAAGTCCTATGAAAATCAACATAACTAGAAAATCCAATTAATAACTAGGGATGTCTTCAGTCTCAGCATCCAAGTTGGCGCCCTTGTCGGCTTGGTCTGGCACATTGACTTTTAGTTTATGCTCAACAACCTCTAGTCATCTCATCGTGTTTCTTTTTTTCCTCGAGATCGCATTACCTAATATAGAAGTCATCATCTCTAATGCCTGTTCTTCACATTGTTTCTTCTGACTAAGCTATTCCTTTGCTGCCATCAAACCCAATGCTTGAGTTTACCTCATGGTTCCTCTTATTGTCTGGATAACCATGGCTATTATTTCTCTTAATGTCGGCGCTTCTCAATCATTCGTTATAGTTAGTTATTGGGGTGATGATGGCTTCAGAATCTTAATGGACTTAGTCTACCCTGTTTTCTTTGTTTTTCCACCAAGGATTATATCCTCATCATCATAAAAAACTACATTTCAGATTAAATCAGATCTAATTCTTTGAATCTGTTTCTGAGCTAGTCAGTGTACTCTATTTCTTTATAGTGAGAAAGTTTTTGATGAGACATCCAATTCTTGAGATTAAACATATATTTATGTCTGACTAACATTTGGGTCAAGAAAATTCTACTCGACTTCTGAAATCTCATCATATTATTATTAGATTATTGGCGAAAAAAGAGTATTTTAGCACTTTTCCATAATACCTTATTATGCATGCGCCCTTTTGATGCATACCTTAAAGTGGTCCTCTCACTTTGACTCATCCATGGAACCTCCTTTCACCCGATTTAGAGTTTATTTTCCTCAGCTTCAGCTACACTACTTAAATAGTCTATATTTCTACCTTTGCAAACCATTGCACATTGATGCTGCTATCCTGTCTCTCGAGACTGTCTGTGACAAAGGTTCTGGTGGAAATGAAAGCTACATTGCCTTTGGAAAAGGAGGCTTAGATTGGCTCCTCCACCAGTGCCTATTGGTAGCAGATTGTTATTTTATGGCATTCCTTCGTATTACACTTCTTGCAAAGTAATTGGACATAATTACTCTAATTGCGTCAATGTGCATCCAAAATTAAGAAATCATTTGTTATTGATCTTAACAACAAGAACAAGGGAATCATATAAATGATCAAAATCTATCTTCACTCATAGATGATGCAATTCCACTTTCATCAACTCAAGCAACACAAAATTTAAAATAAACTCTACATGGTATTAATGAATCAGAGCCTTCAGATCCACCCCTTACTAAACCAAGCACGAAGAAGGATATCATAATCTCATCAGCATCTAAGTACATTTGTGCACATCCTCCAAATGAGTTATCCCTTCATTTCCCTCCTATTATTGAGGATATCGATGCACTAATTCTAAGCAGCTTTCTGACCCATATAGTAGTTTACTGAGTATTAATGGCCAAGTGAATGGGAGATCTGATAATATGTTTATCAACAGGGGTAGAAACAAGAAAAAACTTATCCTCATTCTTCAATATTCACTAGGCAACAAGCTAAGGACCAAAATGAGAGCTTTTATAGATCCTTTTACCTATTAGATGAATAGTTTCATTTTTATCAACATGCAATTTTAAAAATATATTTTTGCTTATTAAATTTTAATCTAGAAATTCATTATAATAGCCTTATATGTACTCATTTCATGATCTAGTTATAATATTAAGATTTGAAAGAATCTTTATTACATTAAAATCTAATTTAAAGTTTTAAGAATAAATAATCAAATTTGACCATAATTGATAATTGATAATTGGCCCCAAAAAATGAAAATACATGGTGGTTCAACTTCTTCATCTATACTAGTTAGATGATGTTACTAAATCCTTTCTCGTAAGATGGGAAGAGCTCTTCTATGGACAGTAAACATGGTAGAATTTCTCCCTAAGGATGAATATCAAAAACACTTTCCATGAAAAGAATCATGGAATTCCTTGAAGACAAATGATACATACAATTTGTTAGAATATTTGTCACATATCCTAATGCTACTAATAAAAGTATCAACAGTAGCAACAGAAGCATACCCTGAGTCCCTGACCTATTGCAAAACTTTGATGCATGCAAATGATTTTAGAGGGTTGAAAGAGAGTCGAAGGGAGAAACATCAATAATTATTTTAAGGTCCAAAAGGAGAGTGAAAACTCTAGCAAAGCATTTAGAAACAAAATAAACAGCCTGCAGCTGGAAATTGACTCCTACTTATCTTTACAGCACAGAACGCAACCATAATGAAATTGATGTAAGGCATAAGTTATCAGAAGAATTGCATTATTCAAGCCATTCAATTCACTGATATGGAATGCTTCCAGCAGTACGTTTCTCAAAGCAGCACTAGAATCAGGAGATAATTAAGAGGAATGGTCAAAATATTTCAATTACCATGATTGACACAAAGCTAAATGTCGCAAGCAATGTTGGAAGTGCAATTTGATCACTGAAGGAAGTTATATTAAGGAGACCAATCGCAACTGCAGGCAGGATACCTAAGGCATTTAGGATTGTTGTTTTTGATCTTCACAACCAATATTTTATGAAAAGTTCTGATAGGGTTTTTAGGTGATGAAATAAGAATATGATTTTCAATAAAAGATGATTTGATTATGAGACAAAATTTTATGAAACTAGGATAGCAATTAAGATTAAATTTAAAAATGAATTTAAATTCAGTCTTTTGAATGATTTATTAAAATATTAATTAGTTCAGAGAATCTGCTATTGTTTTTCACTATGGTTTTTCACAAGAGATGAGAGCAGAGAAAAGGGGTGTGAATTAATAATGTGCCGAATTCAGGGTTTTTTCCAAAATAAGAAAACAATAATCAGCAAGGGATTGGGGAAGGATGCACAAGGGTGAAAAGAAAAATGATGGAGGATAAGAAAATTGGAGTAAATTGCTGTCATCAAGAAATCAAATTGCAAAAAATCACTAAAATCAAGGGAGTGAGAATAAGAAATGATGAAAATGTAAAAGCAATACAGCAACAATTTCACAAAGATACCATATTGATGCAGAATATACAACAATATTACGAAAAGAGATAGAGAATATAAAGAAAACTAATAAATGAGATGCCATACAGTGAAAGAAAATCTAATTCTTATCTAAAAACTGGTAATTCATACAAAGGCAGTACAAATATCCTACATTGTTGGTTCCTTCCCTGCTTTCCTTCAATTGTTCTCATGGGTAGTGCTTCGTGCAACTATTTCCAAAAGTTCATGTCATAAAGTGATGTTTGAATTGGATAGTAAGAAAGTGAATATTCGTCACCCATCCATCAAACAATAATATCCTTCAATAAGAGTGGAAAAACCTCCTTGGCTTAAACAATGCACAGCATTAAATCTAACCATGAACACTCAAACATAATGACAAATCAAAGTACCGTACGGCGTACTGACACTAGCAAACAGACTAATCTTTTAAACCCTAAGGGACAGAAAAAAAAATAATCAGTTCACAGACAAATATGCGGTAAAGAACAGAGCCGATCAAACACATGCATTTCACCATCTAGCACCCATCACACAAATAGAAATCTCGTGAACAGAGGAAAGCAATAAACCATTTTTCCATTAAAAAAAAAAGCAGTAAAAGAAAGAACATTGAACAAGAGAGTACAACAGAGGCATTCTCACCTCTGAAGCTAACCCTCTTCTCTCCATTCCGCGACAGAGTGAGAGAGGAAGAGAGGGTTAGGGTTTTGAAACCTTCGCACTGAACTCAGACCCTCATTTGCAGGAAACCGCCAAATGCTCCCTTCAATAAACATTTTCAGATAAACGGCAACGTTGGAAAAGTTTGCGAAAAATATAAACTAATTATCGCGCGCCACGCGTCATAATGGACGATTATGATCTTATCTCACTTGTCGCGGGAAAGTACTATATTTATAATTCCCAAAAAAAAATACTATATTTATTTAAATTGACGCGATTACGGGACCTGGACGTTTGACCACCGACGCTAAACCCTTTTTGGTTTTCTTACTGGGCAGTCGCAACGCCTCTTGGAGTTCTTTTGTATAGTTAAATTCGGGTCTTTGTATAGGATAGAGCCCTGACCGTTATGGAGCTCAAGTATTTCACGCTAGGTATTGGCACTCGGTACCGTTGGGTATCGCTGGGTACCGTTAGGTACCCATATTTGTGCGGACGGTGCACACTCCGCACCTAATAATTTTTCCTCAAGCAGGCAATCAATTTGCAAAAAATATTCGTACATTCAAATTCAAATTAAATCATTGGCGTAGTTTGAAGACGTGAATATTTAAATTGAATTTAATTTTTAATTTTTATCTTATCGTTCCGATCAACTCAGATCTGAGTTTAAGCATTCCTTTTAGATTTAGGTTTTAAGATTAACATTCTTTTTTAAATGAAAATAACGACGAATGCTATGCAATATATAAGATTTTAGTTCAATAAATTTTTGATATTGGCTGAGGAAAAAAAACAACATAGCTTCGATCATTTGAATTCCTGCGAATTTAAAATTTTCATATCTGGGTCGGGTCGAGTCGGTCAGGCTGACAAGACAAAAATAAAAAAACGAAATCCAATTGAATATTCCACACGTTCGCTCCATGTGTTAAGATTTAATTGGAATTCGGACAGAGAGCTACGTCCAGACTCCGCACAAAATAATTTATCCAATTCACGCATCGCATACATAAGACTCGAATTCAAGATATCTTAGTTACTGGTCAAAACTTCCAACCAACTGGTCAAGATGAGTTGTGCTCTAAGCTTAAAGATATTCATGTTCTAATTAAAAGTTGAAAGTTGGCATATATACCGAGGAACTATTTTAGATTATCACATATTCACAATAATATAGAAGCAAATATAGACTAATAATGAAAAGAGTAATGCTTCTTACTTTGAGCAAAAGGTTAAAATGAGCAAATGATTCTTAAATTAATTATGATGGACTATTTTTTTTTTTTTTTTGCTTCTTACTTTGAGCAAAAGGTTAAAATGAGCAAATGATTCTTAAATTAATTATGATGGTTTTTTTTTTTTTTTTGGGGGGGGGGGGGAAATTTTGGGGCATAAACCCATATATTTCTATAAAAGAGAGTTACAAGATTGTAAAAAACAAAGTAAATCCATCATAAGAAGGACAAAACTCTTATGAAGGAAAGAGAACATAAAAAACCCCAACTATACTACCCTTACAATTGTAACAAAAAAAAACTATAAAAGCTCAAGCGGTAGTAAGTAAGATTCCAACAGTAATCCTTGAGTTTGCACAACCCAGTCCACAGCAAAAATCCCAGCATCGCAAGACTGCACAGAGATAACAAAAAGGCTCCCAGAGGTAGCCAACTGGACTCAGAAAAATCGGAAAGAACGTTTGATAGAGCCCTGGTTGCCCAAAGGCCGTCCAAGGTATTATCTAGGAGCCTCATCATCATCCAATTGGCCCATATATTACTCGAGATAGGGACAGAAATTCTCGAATTGCACCAGAAAGAGAAAACCCACTTAGGGTCAATACAGCATAAATGCCCGAAGTGATCAACATCAGCCCAGAATCTCTTAGAATTTAAATATGAGAATGTTAGCACGAATTGCCTCTTGGAACAACCACAAAATGAGGGCCACCAAAGCTGGTAGCGCACAGGCCAAAAGCAGCAGAAAAACCAAAACAGAAGTGACTTAATCCAGAATTTTACCAAATCCATTTTGCAAACTCTCTTTATCCTTCCAGAAAAAAAAATTTCTTTTTGATAGCATTGCAAATAATCTCTTTAACAGCAACAGGATTACTACAGGTATGGGAAAATTTCCTTTGATTCCTTTCTCGCCAAATGAAGTAGACAGTGGCCGAAATGACCAGAGAACAAAATTGTTTTTCCTTGGCAGAAAAATTCGGTTTGCGCCAAAAAAACTCATAAACTTGGAAAAGATTGGGTCTAAGATAAAAGAAACCAACATCTGGAAGCATCAAAGATAAAACCAGAAAAGTGTAATCACAAGAGAAGAACAAATGATTATGAGATTCATTGTTCCCCAAACAAAAACTGCAAGAGGGATTGGCAGAAATTCCCCTATGGATGAGTAAATCAGTAGTTTTAAGCTTTCCCATTAAAGCCATCCAAGAATAACAAGCAAACCTGATGGCATGCCTGCGATGCCAAACGTATTTGCTCCAGTCCACATTATCTAAATCCTTATAGAAATGATTAATAAAAGTCTTAAAAACAGGATGAGAATCCCCTTTCCAACCCAAGCAAACCGTGGAATCCATAATACCAATGTTACAAATTTTAGCAGTGATATCAGACGGCCAAGAAAGAGGTAAATGCCACATCCCATCTAAAATGATATCTTTAACCCTTAAACCAGCCATATCATTGCAGTAAAAAGTATTGCATAAAGAATCCTCAAACAGCCAAGGATCCCATAAAACAGAGAATTTCGAAGCAGGCGAAATAGAGATAGCAGCCTCCTCTTTAATAAGTTGAGCCTTTGCACAAATTAATTTCCAAAATTTAGAAGCAGAAGGAGAAGGGGGCTTCCAAGGTGATTCATACATTTCAAAACACCAATGACTTGTCAGAGAGTTCACATTATACATACGGAGAATGAAAGAACAGGCAACCGCATGATAAAGAGCTTCAAAAGATGGAATACCTAAACCACCCATACATTTTGGAGTAGTAACAGTCTTCCAAGAAATAACATGCATTTTCTTATCAGCATAATTTCCAAAAAAAAAGGAATTTAGCACATAACTTGGAAATGATCTTTTGGCATTTTTTAGGAATGATAGCCCCCCTAATCCAATAAGCAATAGTATTAGCAATCGTGAATTTAAGAAACTGCATTCTACCTGCAAAAAAAAGTAATTTGACTTTCCAACACGCAAGTAGAGCAGAAATTCTGCTCAGTAAGGGTTGGAAGTGAGAAAATTTAAGTCTTTGAGTGGTAATAGGAAGCCCCAGGTAAGTGAAATGATCCTCCATCATAAAAATCCCGATAAAGGAAGCAAGCTGATCAGCAATGAGAACCTTCTTAGAGAAGGTGATAGAGCTTTTCCCCTGATTAATAAGCAAGCCCGAGGCCATAGAGAAAGTGTGCAGAATATGTTTAAGGCAATCAAGATTTTCCAGTGAAGCTTCACCAAAGACAAGTAGATCGTCAGCATACATGAGGTGAGTAAGACAAAAATTTTTATGTTTAATACCCAAGAAAGAAGGCTACTAATGATTGAGGATACATTGAGACAACCCATCCATTGCAATACATAAAAGCAAAGGAGAAAGAGGGCAACCTTGATGAAGGCCCGAAGAGGACCTAAAAAACCCTTCCAGAGAACCGTTAAGGCAAATGGAGAAATGAACATCATAAATGCAGCCTTTTATCCATCTAATGAAACAATCAGGAAAACCTTTACATCTCAATCTATCAAGAAGAAAATCCCTAGAAAGGGAATCAAAAGCTTTCTTAATGTCAAGTTTAGCACAAAAAACTTTTTGGTTTCCTTTAAAAAGCTTAAGCATTTCAGCAGCCAGAATAATATTGTTAGAAGAAATTCTCTTAGCAATAAAGCCACTTTGACTGTCATGGATAATGAAAGGCATGATAGGCTTCAATCTAGAGGCAATGATCTTTGCAATAATCTTATAAAATACATTTCAAAGGGAGATAGGTCTGTAATCATTCATGGAAGAAGAATGAGAGCCTTTAGGAATCAAAGTAATAGCCGTAGCAGAAGCTCTTTTAGGCATACAACTAGAAGAGAAAAAGTGCTTAACCGCAAGACAAAGATGATACCCAATGATGTGCCAAATTTTTTGATAAAAAGCAAAAGAGAACCCGTCAGGACCAGGAGCTGAACTAGCTTTACCAGCAAAAATAACATTCTTGATCTCTAAATCAGTAATAGGAGCAATTAATGAATCCAAATACTGAGAAGGGACTTTATCAGCAACAGGAATGTTGCTAAAAGCTCTCACATCAACAATAGGAGCATTAAAGAGATCCTTGAAATACCTCACAAAAGCATCAGCAATATCATGGTGAGAGGATAACCTACCCCTAGGAGAATCCACCTCTTTAATATTATTTAAATTCTTTATAGATCTAATCTTGGCATAAAGAAAGCCAAGATCATCCTCTCCTTGAGAAAGCCAATAGGCTTTAGATCTTCGAGTCACCCAGGAAGCCCAATTTGCCTGCAAATGACTCAAAGTTTTATTCGAATCCTTAAGAGAGGCATTAAGCCGAGGATCCAATGGATTGGTTTGAATATCATTCAAATTTTGCATTTGATTCTTTTTAGCTTCCAGAATTTCACCAGAAAGAAAATTAGAAAATGGCCATCTCTTCTCTTTAATCTTGCTTTTAAGATCCCCCAGATAGTTATAAAAAGCAGATATAGGACTAGCAGTAAAAGGTTTACCAAAAGCATTCAGTAAGACCTCCCAAAACTCATCACAGTTAAGCCAATAGTTCTTAAACAAAAATCTGGAAAAAGTCCTCTCATCAGATTTTGATTTAAAGATTAACGGTGAATGATCCGTACCAGCAGGAGGATCAACTTTGTAAAAAGCAGTAGGATAAGCATCCAATAAATCCGAGTTAACCAGAATTCTATCCAACTTGATATGGATGGGGAGATCCACTCTTTGATTAAACCAAGTATATTTCATCCCAACCGAAGACAAATCTTGCAAACCACAGTCAAAAATGAAATTATTTAATTCACCAAGTCTCCCTTGCAATAAAGGAGAACCACCAGCTTTCTCATGCTCAAATCTGCAACAGTTATAGTCACCCAAGATGACCCAAGGCAGATTAATACCAGAAGACAGCATCAACAGATTGTCCCAAAGATCCTTCCTATCCTCCTGAAGGTTGCCAGCATAAATAACAGAAATAATAATAGGAGGAGAGCAGCCAGAAGCAAAAACCCCATGAATAATTTGGGAAGAGATGAACGTAGGAGAAAAAGAGACAAGAGATGAGTCCCATTTAACCCAAATTCTGCCCGGAGATGAGACATTGAAGTTATCACAGCATTTTTCATTTTCAAAAAGATTATGAGAAAAAGCAAACCAAGGATCAACAGCTAAAGAAGCCTGAATCTTAGCTTCTAAAATAGCCAGAAATTTGAGGTTATACAACTTAATGAGGTCTTTGCACATATTAACTTTAATAGGACTATTAAATCCTCTCACGTTCCAAGAAGCAAAAGTCGGCAAGGACATGGCTAACGAGGGTTTTTTGCCTTTTTGGTAGTGTTTTTGGCTTTAGTTTTTTTCGGAGGAGACTTAACTTTTTTGGCAGAGGCGTTAGTGGAAGAAGAACCAGAGGATTTCTGATGATTGGATTCCACCGTATGCGAAGAAGAGAGATCCTCCTCTTCTGGAACCTCCTCATCATCTCTGTCTTTAGCCGGAAGAGAATCCGTGAGGAGAGTAGAGAAACTATTAGTGAGGATAACTTGTGAAGGAAGCAGTACTTTAGAAGAAGAGGAGGTGTTAGGGATTGAAGTATCAACGTTGGGTAGGTTCAAATTGGGAACAATTCCCATATCAGCAATATGGGAGGAAGAAGGATCTTTAGGAATAACAGGAGAAGGAGAGGAGGTAGGAACATTCTCAGAAGAAGGGATAATAATGACTTGTGAATTGGTGGGGAGAGAAGCAGGAGAAGGATTCATGGAGGTAGAAATAGGAGGTTTAGAAGTGTTACCGAGAGGACGCGCCGCATGATTCCTGCTGCGGCTTCGACCACGCAAAACCTTCGAAGGAACCATCTGCTTAGGATCAGGATTAGAGGAGCAGGGGGCAAAAGGATGAAATAAGGAACCGCAACCTTCACAAGGAGTAGGCTTCCAATCATAAACCACCTTCAAGTTAATGTCTTCCCCATCCATATCAATAGGAATGACCTCCGGCAATAAGGAATTCTTAGTGATATGGACACAAACTCTAGCAAAAGTAAGTCTAGTTCTTCTGGCAGTGAGAGTATCAACAGATAAAGGCACACCAATGTAACTCGCAATCTTAGAAATACCTGAGGGTGTCCATAAAGCAAGTGGAAGATCCATAATTTTGATCCAGATGGGAATTGCAGCATCCTCATCCCTATTAGGTTTAAATTTCGGGTTCCATTTTTGTAAGATAAAAGGCTTACCTAGCAGGAACCACGGACCGCCTGAGAAAACCAACTCCATATCCTCCGCAGACGTAAATTTCAGGAGGAAGAAACCATCCGCCATAGACAGTAAAGAGAATGAGCCTTTGAGAACCCAAAGCTTGTTCATAGCCGCTAGAAGACGTTCATAATTAGGGCGTTGCCCAATGGAATAGCCTACCAGAGAATGAGTCCAGATATTCGCTCCTTCCGTAAAATCTACCGCTTTGAACGAAAGTTTTTTGGACGGAGAGACAAAAGACATAGGGAAATCGATGGTATTAGCTGAGGGGTTGGCGAGATTTTGAGCATAGGAGACTTGCGGCTTACTTGGAGGAGAACCAAGAACAGAAGAACCAGGAAGAGGGGGAAAAACATCATGACCCCCTCCATGATGGAAGAAAACGGCCTCACCGGCCGCCAAAGAGCCGGAGGAAAACAAAATCTCCAAGGAAAAGGAAACCCTAGTTGTATACCTTTTGCATTATTTTCCCCTTCGTTCTAATAAGAGTAGCGATCATGATGGACTATTTTAATTATGGACTTTCATAAGCATTTAGTCTGGCCCACCAAATTTGGTTAAAAATAGTTCATTTGCTTCTTAAATTTGATCCAAAATATCTTAGCATATGAACCACCAAACATTCATTACTCGCTCCCATTACAATTATTTGTTCAATTATTTGTTGACTCAGATCGAGAGCTCCATCTTCGATGCATGACATATGCACTCTATCGAGCATATCTTTGAAATTCATAACCGTTTTACCAACTTAAGTTCATCTTACAATCAAAATGGATGTTCGTCGACCTCAAGATCCAACGAACTCAACTTTCAACATATAAGGATCTCTGTTATTAGAAGCACCTTAGAAGGTTATAAAACTCCCATCTTTGGTGTCCACCTTCAGTAACTCAATTTAAATTATTTTTAAGTTTCTTATTAAAAAAATGCAAGATTTTAATTAATGAATTTCAACAATTATGAAAAAATTTCTCAAAAGTTTGCATTACCTCTAGTACTTCTTACAAAAAATTTGAATTTTCTCAAATTTATAATAGGTTAATGTCTCTATGTTTATTTAATTTCAAAATAACTCCAAACTGATAAAAACTTATCCCAAAGGTTAGAAGTGATCTAAGGAGAATTCCATGAAAATTTAGGATTATTTTGTTTTTTTATTTGATTTATTATAATTTATTTTATTTATTCACGTATTTTATTAATAAAAGTCATTAAAATGTTAGTTTTACTTTAATTTCTTAAATTCTAATTCTTATTGATTCTAATGATAATATATTCTTTAAGAAATTTTATTTTATATTTTATATTTTATATTTTGAATTTTATGAATTTTCCTAATTCTAAGTCATTAAAGGGTGTTTTTGAATTAGCAAATAAGAAGTTGAGTTTTTTTTTTTGCGACCTTCTGAAAGTTTAAGATTATTTTGAATTTTTAAACTTTTCATGATTTATTTATTTTTAGAATAGCTTAGGATTTAATATTTTATTTTATTTGTTAATCTTCTTAACCTCAAGCCATATTAATTTTGTTTCCTGAGTTAATTGTGAATTAAAGGCTTTTTGCTATTTATTTTTCTAAGTTTTATTTAAAGCTATGTTAGTTTTATTTTTCCTGAGTTAATTGTGAATTCAAGGCTTTTTGCTCTTTATTTTTCTAAGCTTTATTTAATTATTTATGATTTTTCAAAATTTATTAGCTAAATTAGTTTTTTTCTATTAGATAAATTAGGGTTCTTTATTAGGATTACAATTAGGGTTTGAGTTTTAAGTGGCTAAATAGATTAAATTTTTCATGAAAGATTCTATATAAGTTAAGGATGATTTCAAAAAAGTTTCGTGGAATTCTAAAATGTTCGAAATTTTATGTGATTTTTAATGATTTATTGAAGATTGGTCTGACCAAAGTTTAACTTTCAAGTGAATTGTACCTCATGACTAAAAATCCTATGATTTTTATTTTTTTCTTACTTCGTTCTATGTTTTAATATGAATCTAATATAGTTAATTTTCTATTTTTCTAAATTTTATAGATTTATTAATGAATTTTTAAAATTTTCATATAGAACTAGGGTGTTATAAAGAGTTCATTTATGGTTATGATTTGACCTATCAAATTTGTTGAAATTTCCTTAAAATTTAAAACTCAAATAATTAAAAATATGAAGTAATATCACTGAAATTTGAACTTTTGGAGTTAATTTGAGTTTTTAATGATTTATTCATGTCTATTTTAAATTTATTTTTCTAAAATTAGAAATATGCATTCTTAAGCTTAAATTTGGTTAGCAATTTTTTTTTCCCAATATTCTATGATGTATTTGGCTCCTCTAAAAATTGGTTTTATATTTTTACGATTTAAATTAAATTATTTACACACTACACATAAAGTTATAATCTTGACCAAACTTTCCTATGCTCCTAATGATCAAAGGGACTCAATTTTTAAATTCTAAAGAATTCTCCTCTATGGATTCATTTTTTATGAATTTTCAAAATTCTAACCTTTATAGGTCCTGCAAGACTAGTTTTTTTTTTTTTTTTAAATCTAGTCTAAATTTATCCTAAGTGATTATAGATATATCTCTTTTTAAATTTAATTTTGGTGTAGTTATGCCATCATTGACCCTATTAATCTAGTCAACTATCTCAACTTGACTTAAATCATGGTTCATATGATTATAAATTTATCTATGACTTTGGTTGCCCATATACTTCATCAAATTAATATCACATTAAGTTAATTAACCTAATATTATTTTTAGTGATTGCAACTTTTCTTTACTTAAGTGGAATTAACTCCCATAATGGGTGTCAATTCGGGTCAGCGGGTCAGGTTCGGGTCGAACCCGGAACTGACCCGGCACTATTCGGGTCAACCCGAACCCGACCCGTTTTTAAAAACGGGTCAGGTTTTTGGATCCGAACCTGACCCGATTCGAGTCCGGGTCAACCCGACCCGACACGGATGACCCGAAGTTGACCTAAAATTACTAATTTTCGGGTCAAATCGGGTCAATATTCGATTTTAGGGTCAAAATCGGGTCAATCTCGGATTTTCGGGTCAAATATGAGTTTTCATGTCACTTTCGGGTCAATTTCGGGTTGCATGGTCAACCCGAACCCGACCCGATTTTTAAAACGGGTGGATTTGTTCAACCCGAACCCGACCCGTTTCGGGTTCGGGTTGACCCGAACTTGGATTTTAGGCAAAAGTAAAAAAAGAAACATGCTTTCACGACTTAGCTCAAACCCATGGTCAACAATGATACAATTCTATGATTAACGTCAACGAGGGATTTCGACATTAGTTACACGAATCTCAAAAAGGCATAAGAATATAAATCATGCTTCACTTATATCATACATGATCATACAAACTCTAACCGAAACTTATGAACTCATTAGATATAGGAGAAATGTGTTCCGCGCTTGCTTGTCCAACCTCTTTGCTTGGTTAAGTTGTGTAATATTTCCTAGCATGCATTACTACAAATACTTTACATGCACTCAATGAAAGATGCTATAATTTTAAGATCTCTACATGAGACTTTAAACTCACATCACGTGATGTAACTATCGAGAGAGATTAGCTCCTATATATTACATACATAGATAATGTGATTCTAATAAAGCTTGCTACAGGACGCATTCATGCTTTATAAAACCATATAACTTGACATCTTCAATAAAAAGAAGTATCTCATTCACCAAAAGAGTAACTCTGATATATGAGAAATTCTCAAACTCCTTACACAACATGAGATTTTCATAACAGTCAAAACATACAACAAATTTGTTTCATGAAAATAAAACTAAAGTATGGATTCAATCATGGCTCCTAAAGTGCAGAAATCATTCGCATAAAGAAAAAAAAAATCTTTTTTTTTTTTTTTATTTTTATTCTGCAAACAAAACCATCCTCTTTCTCTCATGACCAAACTCAATAAAGGCTTATAGCACAAGATCAACAAATATGTCAATCACCTTCATCTTCAACAATCAGTTAACAGACAAACTTATACTTTCTTAGTTGAGGGAGAGAAGAAGGATGGAGAAGAATTAAGAGCTACAGAAGAGATGGCTAAAGAAATTTCAACAAAAAGAGAAGAGAAAGAAATAAAAAGGTGAAGTGGAAAATAAGGAAAGAGGAGAAGGGGAAGAAGAAGGAGCGACCTGTAGTGGAGTCGGCTGCTAGAGCTGCGGGCTGACGGGGACTAAAGGGGCGTCGAGCTCGGTCCAGACGTTGGGATCGGTCCGGAGGGGGGAGATCTAGGTCGGTCTAGGCGGATCAGCGGCGGGGTCAGTCCGGGGTTGTGCGAAGCCGGGAGAGTCGGGTGGCCGATGGGTTCGGTGGAGCTGCCGTCGGACAAAGCAAGGGGGGGCTCGGGTCCGTCTAGTAGAGGCCGGCGTCGGGACGGGAGCAGGAAGAGATCGGACGGGAGTCGGTCTTGCTGAGGTTGTGCGAATAAGAGAGATCAGACAGAGGAAGAGAGACGCGAAATCCAGAGAAAAAGTCCGCGCGAGAGAGGGAGAGGAAGAGAGAGCTTTTTTTTTTGCCTGAATGCCCCTCTCCGAAGTTTCATTCTGAGTGAATCGAACTCTTCGTCGAAAGAGGAAGCCCGCCAGTTTTTCGTCGCCGCGCTCCAACCTTCGAAAATTCCTTAAACAGCTTTGCTCTCTGTTCGATCTCTGCCTCTATCGCACTAACTTTGGATTAATTAAGCCGAAATCTATCATATACATCTTAATTGAATCACATAATTCATTTTGACTTAACCTAGGCTAATTCAAATGAATCTAAATAGACCCAATCCCTCAATTGAACTAAATCAAGTTTAATCAAACCTTAAATTTGAGAATAATTGTGCTTAAACACTAAAAAGAACTTGTATAAAATAGTAATGAACAATATACTAGCCTTAGAATCCTAAATGGTTGACCTAACCCAATATTAAACTTAATTCATCTTCATTTAGACTCCTCTTAGAAATCTTGCTAAATTGAATTTATATATGGTTTCCTTGAGTTTATCATAGTCACTTAGTAAATAGTTATCCTTGTAATAACTGTCATTTTAGAACTTGGTTGACTTGACCTAATTTGGTATGGATTCTAAATTGTTCTTATTTCATTTTGAAATTTAAATTACTTAAGTTATTTGAAATTGTTCTTATTAAATATGTAATAATCACCTACTATCTTTAGAGATTGCAAACAACTAAGATTACTAAGGCTTCGTTTGGGACAGCTTTCTTACTACCTCATAAAGCAATTTTTTAGTACAAAAATTTTAATTTTTTAGTACAAAAATTTTAATTTTTTAGTACAAAAATTTTAATTTTTTACTAGAAAGTTGATTTAAAAAGCAGTAAAAAAGCCGTCCCAAATGAACCTTAAGTGTTCATATGAGCAGTATGCCCAACAATCCTGCATCCATTTTGAAACTATCAAAAAAGTTAAGTCTAGCCCATAGCGGGAGTAGAATAAGCGCTTATCTCTGAAGTTGATGCCATTTAAATTTCGTTTAAGACTTTTAACCGTTCTTTAAAGTAAATTTTTAGTACAAAAATTTTAAATTCAAAAAAAAATTGTAACTAAAAAACTGCTTTTAAAAACAATAAGAAAGTTATTCCAAACAAAGCCTAAAACATCTTTCAAACTAAGGTTTCGTTTGGGACGGCTTTCTTAAAACAGTTGTACTAAAAAGCTGTTTTAAGAAGTAATAAGAAGCTATCCCAAACGAAGCTTAATCACTCCACGATGCATTCTAAGTTCAAGAAGCACTGAGTTGAGAAGAAGAAAATTATCATAAAAAGATAGGATTCAGATGATTGAGGCTGTAAGAACTGAAGTTGCCAAACTTCTAGAAGTCCAATACCTCTGCAACAATGATTGTCATGATAAAGAAGACCAAAGGAAAATAGGGGCTGTGCGTGAATTTCAACAAGAACACTGGAACAATACAATTTGTTTTTCATTCCAAACATAGCTGAGCTATTAAATATTTTTGCAAGACGGAAAGCTGTCACTTTGCAGAATTGGACAAGGGAAAGAATCAAAAGTTATGAAATATTGAACTGTAGCTCCAGAGAATGCAGCCTTGTAAGCCATTCCAACCACCAAATAGTAATTCTGGTGCTGCAGCAAAAGCGCAGAGCATATGTGCTTCATTAAGAAGCATAAGAGACAGAAACAGCTCAGTTCTTCATTCTGTTGCACCAAAAGAGTAGTTTATATATTTTGAGATATTAGAAAAGAGAAGATGGGAGCATCATCAAGACTTTCTGTGTCCAGAGGAAGCCATTAGAACAGCAACTGCGACTATGAACATGACAAGCATGCTTATCAGCAAAATGTAGGTTTTCTTGGATGATTTCCTGTATTCTCCAAAAAGAATTACGCCCCAGAAAGTGCTGACAAGCGGCAAAGCCTGAGGAACAATGGTTAGTTCATGAGATATTACTCATTAATCTCAAACAAGTTTAAAATAACATAGAAAAGGAAGCTACTTCAAGATTCTATGATATTTAAGGGGAAAATTTTCTAAATTGGTTTTTATGCAATTCACCAGTTTCTCTTTGGTAGTAAGTTATTTGGGTTAAAGATTAATCGGAAATCAATAGTAAATCCAGGCAAAGATTAATTTCCTTTCATTTCATTCACTTTCTTGCCATCCTTGAGCGAATTCCAGTTTATCAACTTGAATGAATATCTTATTAATTGGCTATAAAAAAGGACACCTATAAGAAGTTTCTGTTCGACCTGAACTGGTTGATGTCTATTACCGCCGGTCCAAAGGAGGGGGCAGACAAGGGGGGTTGGGCGCAGCAATTGTGGGCCAATGGCTTAAATTAAGCAAGGTTTGAGAGGGAAATTTTGAATGAGGGGTTGTTAAGGGATTAAGTAATTTTTCTTTTGCTTTAATTAGGATTTTTTTGGTAGGGTTTGAGGTATATTGAATTTGAAATCAGATTTGGGATATAGGGTTTAGGGGTGCAACCGAGTCAAGCCGGCTCGCGAGTCGGCTCGGGCTCGACTCGTTAATGGGCTCGACGAGGCTCGATAGCGAGCTCGACGAGCCGCTCGATTTGACGACGAGTCGAGCTCGAGCTCGGATTTTGAGCTCGACTCGAGTTCGAGCTCGAGCTCGAGCTCGGGTTTTGATTGTCAGGCTCGACTCGAACACCCCCTGGCTCGAGCTCGACTCGACTCGTTTGCACCCCTAATAGGGTTGGTTCTTTTGGGGCTCTAGGCTTGGCTAGAGATTTTGGAGAGTTGTTTCTTCCTCTCGAATTGAAGAAACTTATATTTTTGCTGTTTTCCTGCATCTACTAGTGGAATCCTTTGTTTTCTATCAGTTTTCCCCAGGAAATCTGCTGTTCTTTGCTGTTTTCTGCTGTAAACAGCAGTTTTACGCACTGTTTTCACCATAGGTTTGCTTGCGAACTCAAGTATTTCCTAACAGTTTCATCCCAATTTATGAAGAAATTTAAAAAGCCTATTAAATTAGCACATGAGCAAGTTACAATCTATGTTTATCAAGCACTCACCTGAACAGCATCTGCTGCAGCATATCCAGCAGCTTGCCCACCCATGAATTGAAAGCCGTTTCCAAATCCACAAAGAAGACCTGCTAGAAAAGCCCATTGCCTCCCGTTCCAATCTTGAATGTAAGCTTTAAAAGATGACCTTGGTAGCCCAAGAATGGGCCTGTAAAGAAACCATATATTTAGAGCAATTGCAAGGATAAAACATGAGCTGGAGAAGTAGAAAAACGCTGTATAGACCACAAGATGGGGCACTCCCTTCTTTAGGGTGTGCCATTGGTCATTTGTGGCCAAGTTGAATGCTGGAGAGAAAAGTGAGAAGCAAATGCCAGCAAAGAACACAATGGCCAGCCCTAGAAACATGTTTGAACCAAAAACCTGATAAAAACCAATTATTTGGTCAGTTTGAGCTAAGAAGCTACAAAAGGAAAGATCAATTGAGATTGGAAGATTAAGCTCAGAAGATGCAAAACATTAAATGAAGGCTTCAGCTAAATAAGTACAACAACAACAACATCAAGCTTTTGTCCCACTACGTGGGGTCGGCTATATGAATCCTTTTTCGCTATTGTTTCATATTAAAAGTCAAATTCTCACTTAAATCTAATAAAGAAATATCATTTTTAATATTTTCTAACCAAGTCTTTTTAGGTTTATCTCTTCCTTTCTTAACATAAGTCAAATCTAATACCTCAACTTTCCTAACCGGGTCATCGGAAGGCCTCCATTTAACATGACCAAACCATCTAAGAAAACTCTCTCTAATCTTATCTTCCACTGGAGCTACTCCAACCTTATCTTTAGCTTTATAAACAAATAGAAATACCTAGGTTTATTGTTGTAATGTGAACTCAATTGTTCCCTTGTTTGAACATAAGCATCAATTCTATTCTTAAAACTTAGAGGCATCAAAGAATTATTTATGGCGACATAAAAGTAATGTAGATTTATATTATTCACGGTAAGAAGGATGTGCATGTATAAGATTTTCATGGAACAATCAGCCCGACAATATTTTGAGCCACTTCTCAAAATCAGTGAAAACAAAGAAAACATAAAGATGATAAACACACAAAATACATCAATAATTTTTTTTCATGTTCACCAAATTGATGATTGTTCTATTACCACCCATGTAAATTTCAATATAACAAAGTTTGTGAAATTTCACCGACCAAATATATCCAATATATCACCTAATGATGCCCCATAAAATGAAAAATTGGGGCAACTAAAGATCACAATGAAATCCCCAAAATACACTAAATAAAACAGCCCATAAAATTTTTGATAGTTTTAGGACTCTACCCCAGAATTGCTGAGATGAGGTTCTTTGCCCCCTACAAAATCTCTTGACGACTTTATCTCAAAAGGTCAATTTGCGACGAGATATGGACAGGTTGTTTCTTCGTAGGGCATAAATTAGACTTTCCAACAAAACAAAAGCTGCCTAAAAATTACTCGCCTTGATTGATCTCTGTTCTTCAAGTTCTAGAAGGTATTCAGCTGTGCCAGCTTTTGACTTCTCTGTCTTCTTGTTCGAAGAATAAGTTGCAATCTCTACATCCTTTGCCACATCTGCAAAATGTGTACTAAAGTTACAAAATTATTAAATATCCATTAATTATTTATTATTTTGAAAGAAATAAACTGCCGAATACCTTTCTTTGGTTCTTTGCTTCCATTCTTGTAATCTCCCCAGGCACTGCATTTTTTGTACAGTTTAAGTTTGTAAGTTGTAGACAAGCTTATAAGATAGAATAGTAAAGTCTAAGCAGAGAACTAAACGCATTAGGCAACAAAAAGCTATACCAAGCGTTTCCACGTTTGTTACATGAGGAGCCACTTAATTTCTCTTTATTATCAGCTGCATTGGAGGAATGAACAGCAGATCCAAGACAAACGGCAACCAAGAAGCATCCAACTCCAGGGAACAGAATCTCGGCTTTATTGATTCGACCATCTAAGAAATAATTCATAGTTGTTCCTGACAAGCGCCATGATGTTAGAGATGAAATTTTATGCTACAACATTTTGTCACTCAATACAAGTGGCTGAGAAGCAATGCCATCTACAAAAGCAAATGGAACTGTAGAGCAAGTTTGAATAATGTGACTGGCATCAATTTTATCCACACAAAGTGTTAAAAAGAACCTGCAATTCACTTTCAAGTGTAGCAAAAACTTTTTGTACATCAAAGTTATAAGTCATGATTGTTCTTGACAATTTTGGGAAATTAAGTACTGCTTTCAGAGGTGATAGTCTCCATATGCCTAATTGACTTAGGTGGTATCCACAAATTTGATAGATTTAAGTAGTCTACTTATACCCAATATGCATAAATTCCTCAATAATCTTAACCATCTTTCAAGAGTTTGACAGGAAGCCTGTTTGATGGCTATAACATACCCATTCATGATCATGAAGATCCAATCTACCTTCGTTTGATCTTGTGCTATTGAGCTTAAGGCCATAACGTTGCCTAAATGACAAGAGTAAAGCTTGAAAAAGTTGCATGATGATGAAAAAAGAGAATTTTAATGTTAATAAATAACTTCATTATGAGTGAAAATAAGTATGAATGGAATTTTAATAAAAGACATAAATCCTATAAATAATGGTATTCTTTTTTAATACATCTTATTGAACCTAGAGAAGAGGCAACATTGAAGAGGGTATGAGAAAAATAGCAATTTCATGCTAATAATTGAAGTTATTATGGGTTGATAAACCATTAGTATTGATTAAAAGTATAAATAAAAAGAAACTATAATAAAAGAGAGAAATTATGTTAATAACGAGACTCTTTTCAAAGACATCTTCCTGATACTAGAGAAGAGATATCATAAAAAAGGGAACTCCCTACCCAACGCTCTTACACTTGCTTGCCTCCCTCATGTGTGCCACAATTGCTTTGCCAAGATCCTACTTACGATGCCACAAGACTACTAGCTACTTTTCTAACAAACTTATCATATTCAAACTCCATCTCGCATGTCCTCTCAACACCATTCGCAGCTAAATGATTTCATACATGATTGTGGAAATCTTGTAGCATATATCTTTGCCAAAACTCTAAACCACCTACTTTTCTTTCTATTTTGCAACAAGTTGGAGCTAGTAGATGTATATGCTCCAACTTTAGGGGGAGTATTCACCCATGATGCACCGACACTTCTCCTTAAAGAGGCGTGCAGTGTCTGACACGTATCCGACACGACACGCGTCTGACACTCCTCCGACACGCCATAAATGTGTCCGATTAAAAAAAAAATATTAAATACAAATTGGACACACGTGTCTGACATGTGTATCTTAAATATTTTATGAATTTTTTAAATATAATTTCTTGTATTTAAAATTTTTACTTATTTAAAATATAAAAAATAAATTTCTTATTTCCTATCCACAATACCAAATCAATCACCCGCACTTAATACCCCATTCATCGAATATTCTCATTTTCATTTCTCTTTGGCGGGTTACAACTTCGATTTCACAACAATGCCTAATGTCATCTCAACATCGACATCTGCATCGTTACAACATCAACATTTCAAAACGATCTCCATATCAAAGTCTAACATCATCTTTATATTAATGCTCGATGCTAGCAATTTCTACACCAACAACTTGACATCTCATCTTTGTCCAACGCCTTCTTAACATCGACGACCAACACCCTCTCAACATAAACGACCAACACCCTCTTAACATTGATGCCCAATATTTACTACATAACATCAATGCTCGACTCTCGACAGCATTGTCATCTCCTCTCTCGATAAACGATGAACGACATCAACGCCCGACTTTCAACATCCTAATATTAATCATTTCAAGCACAAATTCTTATTAAATAACTTATTATTCTTAAAATTATACTTATTCAAATTTTATACACTATTTTTAAAATATAAAAACTATAGTATCGTATCCAACCCGTGTCCGTGTCCTATATTTTCAATAATTGACGTGTCCCGTGTCGTGACGTATTCATGTTGTCGTGTCCGTGTCTGTGCATCATAGGTACTGACACATTAGATAGGTAACTACATTGAGGGATATAAGTATAATATTCAAATAAATGCTTTTATGTTATGTTAATCGTGATATCATTCTCTTTTGTTTGTTTCCTCTTTTCTACTCACATATGTATATTTATTTATAGGATAATAAATACATAGACACTCAAGTTCTTCCGGTAAGCAACATTTCTTGTTAAGAAGTTATAATTACTTTCAAGAGTGAAGATGGTAGAATATATTCAAATTAACAAAACATCATACACGGTCAAGAGATGCTACCAATTACAAATCAATCCCAAATATCAGCAAATAAAACTAATTTGAGATCAACATCATCTTTGGCCCAATCCCCAATAATGTAAAAGACACCAAAAGTTGTGTGATAAAAGAAGGCTTTCTAGAAGAATAAATAGACAAAAATAATGAGATGATGATGCAAGCAAACACAAAGTATCAAGTCTTTACCTATTACCACTGTTATGCTACACGTTATCACTTCTGTTACTGAAAGGCCAACATAGGCCCATGCATATTGTGTTGATAGATTCCCAAGACTCAGCACAATCCCACCCACCATTGCAAACAACACTGAGGGCCAGTTATCCTGCATATGAATTTCTGAAATATTAATTACTTGACAGGAAAAACCTGCTTCCACCCATTACATTAAGGAGAAAACAAGAAGCTAGAATCAACAGCAGACAAATAAGCATATACAGAAAGGAAATATTATTAAAACAACTTTAAATTTCTGAAAAACTGTTTCCCCATGTAAGTAAGTTGAACTTTGCCATATTCAGATTCATAGAAGAAGAAGCATAACATTCAACTTTCCTATTTCTTGAACATAAAGTGGTTGTATTAATGAACTGGTAAAACAAAAGGAAGAAACAATATGTCATTGACCAAAACTATGAATGATTCCCAACAACCTGGCAAGTTCGTTAAGAAGCACATTTATAGATTGTCATGATCTTCTAGATATGTCCCCAAACCTTTGCTTTGAAAGATTCTATCACCCTCATCAATAAATTGCTAAGATAACGATCAAAATTGTCCTCTAATTATTTATGAAGTATCAAAATGGTTTTCGACTATTTAAAATTCTCATTTAGTAACTGAATTTTTAAATAGGGACCTAAATGATCCCATGAAATAACTAATTTTATCCATGTTCAAAGAGTCAAATGATCAAATTTGTTCTTTTGTATTGTTGGGGACTATTTTGGTCCTTCAAAAAAAGTTAGGAGACCAATTTAATCATTTTCTCATAATTGCTAAAGAGAAAAGAGTGTATGTGATTTTTCAGTCACAAGAGAAGGATTATTTATCATGTTTATGCCATTTACCAAACAGTTTGTAAGAAATTAAACATAGGTTATACAAGTATTTTACCTCTTCTTGGGTGACTTAAGAATTCAAATAAAATTTGATTAAGTGTAACTTAGGGTCAATCATTCTTGTAAAGCAAGAAATTGCAAAACTTTTGAAAAAGTTAGAATATAGTATAAAACTAAAATATCAAAAGCAGTTTGAAGTAAAGAGTCAATTACTTGGAACCCATCATTCTTCCTTCATTTACGTTAGCCTTGTCACAACTAAATGGGATAAACTTTATAAATCCTCATTTTTTATTGATTCATATTACATGTTAAACAACGTGCTATCTTTATTTTGAGTAAATTTTTCTGTATAAAATTTCCTTATGTTATCTTTGATCTATCACTTTTCATTTTTTATTCTTTACTATCTATTTCATCTACCCATCTTATTGGTGAATCATCTACATTCTTTAGAACATGTCCAAACCATCTGAGGGCTTGTTTGTTATTGCCATTTTAGCTGCATTGCTTTAGGAAAAGTAGATGAATGTTTCTATGATGTTTTTGGGTAAAAATTTTTCTGTTGTTTTACTGAAGCAGCTACACAGACGAATATACCATAGCTATAATTTTTCACTGCCTAATATTCAATCGGCGCAACTCTTGCAGTCTACCTTCATAAATATTTCTCAGACTATTCTTTATGGTTTACACACCCCCAAATAATTCTCACTTAAGGTACTTAATTGGACTCTCAATAACATTTTTATCACTTAATACTCACATATATATAACATAGCTAACTTATGCTCTTGTAAACCAACATGATGGTTTCACTAAATTAAATAAAGCAAGCATAAAAACACTTGCCCATGACTAAGCACTAAAAGATCTTAAAAGAGGCTATAAAAAAATAGTAGTTAATAATAAATAAATAAGTCAAAATTTACTTCACATATTGTAAAGAGGGGAAACACCTGGGAAAGCTGAGTGATAAAATTAGGTTGATTAGGTTTGCTATCTCCAATTTGGCCAAATGTAAGAGCAATTAGAATGGCAGCGATCAGATTTGTAATGGAGTAATCCAGGTATGTATGTTGAGGAAGACGACCTCTTCTCTCCAAAAGTGTCAAAACAGCAGGCCAGGTGCCCAAAAACAGCAAGGAAGCAATCATCAGAGCAATTGCTCCTCCTTTATCTTCAATCACATACATCTTTCAAAATTTCTCTGAAAAACTCAGAGTAAAAAACCTGCAAAAAAATTTAAAAACTTATGAGATCCTTTATTGCCCTTTCTCTTGATGCATGCAACGCCAATATTTTCTAGGAGATAAAACACGAATGATAAAGATAACAACTAACTATGGCTTTCAAACTAATGAAAGGAATAATCAGAAATTAACTTGAACTGAAATGGCTAAAGACGAGAAAACCATTCAGAAGTAATGTTTGTCTAGGGCTTGTAGCTTTTGATCCACTGATTGCTTGAGGTAAGCAAGGAATAAAAAAGCTTCATAACTATGCGAACTCACTCAATTATATATCCCACAAAAGAGTTGACTGAAACTACTATGAAGAAAAAAATATACAAAAAAAGACAACTCGAAGCGATTACAAAAATTCTTGCTTTCTTCAACAGGCAATGGGTCAATAGAAAAAGAAATCATAATCGTATTAAATCTTCGCAAGAGGAAATTTTATAAATGAATCTGAATGATTTAGATACAAGAGAAAGATATAGAGCACGGATTAGTTGTATGAAAAAAAAAACGCATAAAGGCCACAGAAACCTTGATGAAAGAAGCTAGCTCCCCAGAACTCAGATTCAGACAGTGATCATTGATAAAAAACATGCAAGAAATTAGCAAAAATGTCTTTGTTTTTTGCTTCGATTATGAAGGGTGCCCAATACGCAAAGGTCAAAAGAAAAAAAAAACTACTCAAGAGACTGTTTGGCAACAGGATTTATGCAGAATTTGAGCAGGATTTATGCTAAATCCTGCCAAACAGGATTTATGCAGCCCGTAGATCTCAAGGCGGAATAAATACCGGATTTATTAAATCCTGGAGCTCGGCGGATTTACGGGATTTGGCAGAAGAAGTGCGCGAAAGGGAGAAAGATAGTAAGCTTCACAGCGAGCGAGCTCACGTCCGATCCAACAGGAAGAAATTATAAAAAAAGATCAGTTCTTCGTGCATAAAAAGTGCAAAAAGTTAGGAGAAATTAAAAAAAAGGAAATCCAGCCACATTGCTGACTTTTATTTTTCTTTAAATACACATTACGAAGGAAATGAAAAAACTCTCATGAAGAATTTATTACGTGCGGTCAACGAAGACGGCAAGCGGCCATTAATAGAGAAGAAAAAACGGCGAAGACACTTTATAGCCAGAGAAACCATTCAAAACCAATCACATAACAAACGAAGAAGATGACTTAAAATAGACTAAAAAAAACAAAGAAATCATAAAAATATCTTTGAGAAACAGAAATCTTTTTCCTTTAACTTCAAAATTTAGAAAATCTTTGGAGAAGAGAGGGGAAATGCCATCTGTATTGCTGAAAAGAGCTGCTCATAACGAGCTTCTCAATGGGAGAAGCAATGATCTTTTTACAGAATATGGAAGTTCCTATTGAGGATATCCGTCAAACATAAATATTGCACTAATTCAATATACATATTTTTAATAAAAAAATCATAAAAATAAATTATTTGAATTTAGATCTTCATAAATTAAGTTGAAAATTTAAAATGGAATTTAAATTATTTTTAAATTAATCAAAAGAGTGCGTTCTTAAAAGTTTGTCTGTTTTCGATGAGCATTTCTACTACATTCTCTTTTTTTACCACTCTCGTTCTCTTTCTATCTCTATCGAACAAAAAATAAAAAAAAAATCTAAATGAAATTTTTATCAGAAAGGTCTTTTAAAATTTAATAAGTAATATCAATTTTTTCTCTCTCTCTCTCTCTATATATATATATATATATATATATATATATATATTATTAATTTTTGTATGGACTCAGTGTTTTATATTAAACTATTTGATAAGTTCAATATTATTACTAAATTTACTGATGTGAAAACTAGAAACAAAAGAAAAAAAGGAAAGAGAAAGAGAGAGATTAGGAAGAGAGACATTTAAAGAGAGAAAAAGAAGAAAAACTTGATGTTTGAAAAAAAAAAGTTTGAGTAAAATAAATGTAATATATTTGAGATGTTTATAATTGTTTTGTTGAATATAAAATAAATGCATGACATTATTTTTCTGTGTTTAAATTGAAATAAAATATGATGATGATGATTGACATTCACAATAGTGATCACCCACTTGTTGTGGGTGTCAATGGTTGGCAAAGACAACTACGTCTATTGGTAGCAGACAAAAGTAAGCTTTACTTTTTATTTTTTAAGCTTTACTTTTTATTTTTTTTGGAACATGGATATCTACCCGTTGTCCCTCCAAAAGGAACGTTTGGCGAAGTAACAAATCCCTCGATAAAATCTAACGAGATTACCCACCGGCAGCAGACCTACTTAATTTGCCCCACTGAAGAATCGAGGCCGTTGTAAAGGAGATTCGAACCATGGATTAGGGGTTCTCAGTCGTGCTCACCCACCAACCATCCTAACTCTCGGTGGGTAAGGCAAAAGTAGTCGCTAGCGATAAAGTGAACTATTAAGTAGCAGAAGCATTTAAGAGAAAATATTTGATATTTTGCCATATTAGACAATGCTTTTGTTGATAACACAGTAAATCAACTGTGAAAAAAAAAAAAGGAAATAAGATGAAATCAATTTTCGATTAGCTGCATTAGGAAAAACCCTTTTTCATTTCCTTTTACTTGTGTTCTGACCAATTTGTGTAAAAAAACATCAATTCTCAACATGAAAGCAACAGGAACCAGATAAATTATTCTGGCAGACACCGGACTGTCCGGAGCGAATCAGAGCGCGTCACATTACCTGATACACAGCGAGTACATAGCCGTAGCACACATCCAAAAGATGACGTGGTGCATTCTGATTCACCTCCGAACGGCATCCGTATCCCAAAAAAAAATAATTTCACCACGAAAACTTCTGCTGGCAACAAAGAATCACCAACTCAAAACGCTCCAAATAAAAAATTCAATCTAAAACCAATTATAAACACCCAGAAACTTTTACTATAATACTTGGAAAGATATTTTTAAAAAAAGTCTTGACATAAGCACCAGTCTTCCTCAGATCCATTCAAGCCTCTATGTAAAATATTGAAATCTCTCAAAGATCCTTCTTAGCAAATCCATTAAGAAAATTACCAAGGAGCCTTTGATCTAAAACCATGTTAGGAACCTGCATTACAAAAAAAAAAAAAAAAAAACTGGTTAAAGATTGCCAGATTTCAAGTTGTTTGGAGAGTGAAAAAAGTCCTAACCTTCTCTCCAAAGAAAATTTTTGAGTTGTTTGCAATGGCTTCAATGAATTTGAGTTCAAGAAACTCAGGTGTAAGTTTCAGTTTATTAGCCTCTGCTTCCTTCATCACCCTAAGTTTAGTAATATCATAAATAACAAAAAACAAAAAAAAAACGTCTCAGCATTAGCAAGAAAATAATAATAATAATAATAATCACCAACCTGTAAAAATTAGCGTCTGCTTGGCTTTTCTCACGAGCAATGTACATTTCATTCTCGATTGCTTCTTGCTGCTTTGAGCTGTCTTTTTCCATTAATTTTTGCTCCATGAGAATCTTGCTAACTTGGGCATTCTTCTCTGCTTCGGATAAGGCTATCTTCTTTTGGGTCTCAGCTTCTTTTTCTGCAACCTTTTGTGCCTCTATGGCAATTAAAGCCTATGGGGATGAACCCAAAAGTAACACAATATAAGCTGTGTAAGAAGACTTGAACAAAAGGTGTTAATATCTCTTCCACCGCTAGCATGAATTAGTTAGTGATGCAACCAAATTTTAAAGGAAGCTAAGGTTGCAAACAAAGATGATGTCTCCCTTTCGAAATGACATAAACATATACAAATAGAACAAAACGATACTATTATATCCCACAATAGTTTAAACAAACACTAAGATTCCTTACAACTTCAAATAAAAGGACATAACAACACCATAGGACTAATCAATGTTTTGAGAAGAAAGATACAATGGGAGGGTTACCATAGAAAGAAGAATTAGATAAGAAGACTGAGATGAAGTTTTAGAGGAGAAGGGGAAGTAGACTAGCTCACAAGCTAATAAAAAACCCTCAGGTTTTCTTTCCAAAAATCATCTCCAAAAACTCTCTTAAAATAGCCCAAAACTCCCTTATAAATAGGCTAGAAAATGGAGGCCAACAGCCATATTCAGCTGCCCACAACAACCAACCAAAAGGGGAGAAAAAATAGCAATAAATGCAGGTTTGGACCCTCACCCGAACAGTCACAGTTAGGGAACCGGGATAGCCAAGGAGCAGGAACCGAACAACCAACAAGGGGAACCGGGAAAGCAAGGAGTGGGAATCAAACAGCCAGCCCAGGGAACCGGGAAAGCCAAGGAACCGAACAGCAAAAGGCCAAGGGTATCAGAACAAAGGAACAACCAAGCCAGAAGAACAGAAACGGAACAGCCAAGCCAACAGAACAGAAACCGAACAGCCACCCCCCCCCCCCCCCCCCCCCCCAAAATCATCTTAATTAAAAAAAGGGGGCGGCCAAGCTTACATCAGTGAGTATATATTTTATGCCGATCCAAAAGTTGGCATAAGCACAAGTCTAATGGATGCAAACATCAAAATTTATACTCATCCAAATGTAGAATGCAGAAGTGAGATGACCAAATCAGCCTTCTAAGTTTAGATGTTAGCAATTTAGGCTTCGTTTGGGATGGCTTTATTACTGCTTCGTAAAGCAACTTTCTAGTACAAAAATTAAAATATTTGTACTAGAAAGAAGCTTTAAGAAGCAGAAAAAAAAAACAGTCGCCCCAAACGAAGCCTTAATCTCATTGCTTTCTGAATTTTAATTTATTTTATGTAACATGTCCATAATGATAATGCCAATGGGAGGTTTTCTCTAATATTTTGAATTTAAACGAGAAAAATTCATGGGAGGTTTTCTCTTCATGAATTCAAACGGAAAAAAAATGAATTTAGTAAAATGGGAGTCAAAGTCAAAATTTAAAAACAAGCTAGTTCATGTCCTATGAAGTATATCATCATTCAGATTCAGCAAAAAAAGATAGCAAAGTTGTGCAAGTTCTAAAGCGCAGAAAGGTCTAGAAAAATACACATGATTTAAATGAGAGACGTCTAAATGCCCATATCTCAATCCTAGTTAACATTAAAATAAAAAGAAGGCTAAAGATGGTGCAAGTTAATAGCTAAAAAAAAACAATATAAATGAATACTTAATGAGTTGATCGATATAGAATTTTGAGCTAAGACGATTAATATTTGATGGCAACTGTATTTTATCAATGACATGAATAGCAAATAAATCAAAGGTTAGATAAAACCTTAAAGAGAAAAGTTGAATACTTTAAAATGACACCTATATGACTGCATGACTCCAGTGCCTTTAAAAAACATTACCTGCTAAAATAGCAATGCAAAATGCAAAGAAACTTAAAAACGTATAAGTCTCAACGACTAGCCTTAACATAACCTTATCCCGAAAATTCCGAGTTAGCATCTGAAGAAAAATATACCTTAGTGCGTTCCTCCTCCATAAGTTCAAAATTGCGCTTAATAATTGCAGGAATATTGGGTTTTGTAACACGAACGCTGATAATTTCAACCCCCGGGGCATACTGCGTGCAGTCCATTTGAAGAGCTTCTTTCATTTTGTCATCAATCTGATGAGTGGATCATCATTACTAAACTAGATAAACAAAATCAAGAAAGAGACATATTGATAACTTCGATTAACATTCAGGTGGCAATAAATGGGTGTAATCATTGTTTAATTCACCGTTATGTTGTGAGTCCTATCAACTTACTCTCGTATGCTTGTTCAAGATCATGCATTGGACAATTATTAGATTATGGAAATGAGAATTACAACTATGATAATAGAGAAATGCAAAGAATGTGACTTATAATCCAGCCCACTAGACAGTGCAGGCTTAAGAGTTTTTTTTTTTTTTAATTGAATTTTCATTCTACAAAACCTTGAATGCCTTATACTCTGTATGACATAATATTTTAGCTCTGCGCTTGGACAATTGTCAATATTAGATGATCATGCCCAAAATAATAAGAATACAAAAAGTATGCCAACAAAATACAAAATTGGCATGTTAACTCCACTTCTTATATGTGGAGATGAAACTTATACAATACCTAATACGGCGAGTGTAAGGTGCTTCAGTGCCCCCCATTTTCTAGACAAACACTGGGACCATTCATATTTTTTTATTATACACAAATATATATAACCCTCCTTTATTAATATTGATATTTCTATTTATTATTAATTATTATTTTATCCTATTAAGAGGGTGTGTGTGTGTGTGTATATATATATATATGAATATCCAAGAATATTTTTGTGTGCAAAGTGCAAACTCTCTTATGAATTATCTCCCTCTCAAATGGCAAATTTTCACTCTCCTCAATTCGCAACTTGAGCAGTAGAAGAGGCCTTTCGGGACTATTTTATTCCAACATTCTGCTGCATTGGGTTAGACCGTTTGGTGAAATAAGTAATGAATTTGGGATGGTTTTAGTTGATTTCTCGTGGAAGCATGCCCACCTACCTCTATTATAGTTGCACTCAACCAAGTCGGCTTGTGGATCACACGTGGAGGTCTACATAGGTGGACGATCAAATATAGCGTGTTTAGTTCGACTCTATCATAAATAATGTAATGTTATTTAGAAAGTTCAATGATAATTAGCGAAATTCTTTTTTTTTTTTTAAGACATCAGATAACTAAAACATAGAAGTCTGCAAATTTAACCAACATCTTGTTGTTATAAAAAATAGGACTTAAATATCATTTATGAAATTTAAAAACTTTAGTAAAATAAATGGATGGCATATGCTAATAATATAATATTAAGTAACATATATCAATGAACCAAACAACTACTTCGTATTATGATGAGAAAAGCTTACTTGATCGAACATATCAATATACACTTGCTGCAAAGAATGAGAGCTACAGAATTGATTGATCTCATGGTGAATCTTATCATATATCCATGTCTTATCGTAGTTTACACCATAATTGAGAAGAGTGTCATACACATGTCCCTTATTAAGGCGATTTACAACCTGCTTAGTACATAATTCACTTATTAGAACCCAAAGGAATCACTAACGAAGCAAAAGCCACACATATCACACTTTGGAACTTCATGCATTAATAAATCAAAGGAAATGAACAAACAGGGCACCTCTATCTTATCAAAGCTGATCATTACTCCACCTTTTGTTCCACAAGGAATATCTCTTACCTATCAACTCAAAGTAAATAGGTATGAAAGTATTAACAGTGGATAATTTTTCAATGCAAAACAAATTTGGAGAATGTAGAATCAAATATCTTGAATAAGTTAGATAAAGATTTTAGTTTAAAAGGCATGCATCAAAGCAGCATATAACAGACACTCCTTTTAATTCATTTCTTTAAGTTAACAAGAGTAGTCAAACCAGAAAAAAATAAATTAATTACCAGATCTGTTTGAATGGTCACTTGGATGGGCTCAAATTCCGTGACTAGTGGAAATTTGAGATGAAAGCCTAGCAACAACGAGAAATTAAAAAAAGTCAAATAGCGCCACTAAAGACAAAATCCAATAATCAAATGTCTCTAAAATGGGAAAACCTGGATTAGTGATCGTTTTCAATAAAGCACCGCCCCTCCAGTATGCACCAACATAACCCTCAGGGACTTGATGTAACACAGAAAAATTCCAGTTTGTTGAGAATGAGGTCGAAAGAAAAATCTGTGAAGATCACCCATGATAATAAACTTCCATAGCATAATCAAAAATAAAGGAACAAAATAATGTTGTTTCAAAAGAGAAGTTGGTAACAAACTTACGAATAATAAGAATAACTGATTTAATAAAATCTTTTTTTTTTCACCGTAAACAATTTAATTTTTCATAACCCTTATGAGGAATAATATTAATTATTCCTAGATCAAAATGATATGTCATCTTAATATATACACATTAATTATACAACACCAAAATGTAAAACTAATTGATTTCTTTTGCTTCCTGATGTTGAACCCCATATGTGATCCACAAAACGTTTGATCAAATGCTATGACAATGGTGGAAAATGGCACAATATCACAATAGATCATCTTGAAATATCTAGTTTAAATTTAAGAAAATTGATGAGGACATCAGATTTCGACATGTGTACTATCGCCGGAGACGCAGATCGACGGCTACAATCCAGAGCCTCTATTTCTGATTTATTTGTATTTTATTTATGCTTGTATTTCGTTTCCTAGTTTGTCCTATGGGCATTGAGTCACTTATGTAGCCTTGAGGGCGTTTGCGTCATTTCATTTTATTTTGGCCTACTTATATGATGCCTCTTGCAATATAATAGTTAGTTTTTGAATGAATGAAATTTTCCTCTATTGATCTCTTTGTGAGTTCGTGCCACCATTCAAGATCTCTTTGTGAGTTCTTGAAGAGGTGGAGCTTGTAGATCTCTTTGTGAGTTCTAGTGGAGGAGGTGCATGAGGTTTGAAGTTTCATCCAAGTCTTCCAAATCTTTCCCTTGATTTTCCAGCCCTAACTTTCCCCTCTCTCAATAGCCTCCTACCACCGGCCACCTTGGGCCGCCCAAGCCACCGGCCTACAACCCCAAACCCCTTCCAATCCGCCGGCCTCCTTCCCCACTTTTCCCCTCTTCCCCTCTCTACCTGCCGGCCCTTCCCCCCCTTGGATCTTAAATTTGAAATTCAAATTCCCCAAGAGACATTGATTACCTTCCTAAAATAAGTCCTAAATTTTAGGCAATCTTCATAATGGGATTTCAATTCTAATTTTGAAATTCAAAAAGTTGCCTAATGCCTACATGTAAATTAGGAAACCTTCCTTTTGTTTAAAATCTGAAATTACTTCAGATTTATTCAAATCAATTGATTAATCAAGTGGGCCCCACCTCCTCAAAACCGAACCCCTCCTCTCTCCTCCAGTTTGGCCGGCCCCTCTATGGACTCCTCTCTCCCAAATTAATTCTCAATCTCCACTAATTCAGCCCCAACTCCCTCCCCTTTACCTCCCCTCTTAGGATTGATTTGAATTTTCAAATTAAATCCTTCATCTAATTTCCCAAAATCTGAATTTCTCTCAGATTTCCTGCACCTCCCTCCTTCCTCCCACCCGAGCTCCTTCCCCCTCCCTTCCTCTTGGCTGCACCTCTCCTAGGTGACATATCCTCCACCTTTACACCACCTCGACGCCGAGATCTCCCATGATCATGCATGGCGGATCCCGAAGTTGATCACAGATTGGTACTCGACGCCCACGGAGACATCCACATCGTTCGATCACCTTTCTTCGACGTCGGGTTTGGTTTTGACGACGCCGTTGAAGATTACTTGAACCGAATCCTTCCCCATCTCGTGGACATCCTCGACGATCAATTCTTGGACTACGAGTGGACCATCAACGGCCATCCACCCGTTTCTCCAACTCTCGCTTCTTCCCCAGCGACGAGTCCTCTCGGCATCACTTGTGTAATAGTGGTATCTCTAAGTGTGCTTACGATCCTCTTCCGCTAACCTCCACCTTCAAGACTGATTAAAGGATCTCGAGGTGAAGGACCTATATTTTAAACGTGAGACTTTCTTATAGTTGGCTATTTGCATTATTTGGATTTTTTGGTTATTCTTTTGCAAGTTCTTGTGATCTCAAAGTGTAACCAATTGCTATTATTTAATCTTTCATGATATCTTCTTAAAACTTCCACTTGAGTAAGCTAAATTTTATTGGTAGTACACAAAGTTTATAAACTTTTATTAATCTCTAAAGTGCAATTCTTGCTTCCGCATTTAGTTTCACATCAAAAATGCTAAACCCACTACTCATTTTGTCAATCATACCATCCTGATGCATTTAAAACACCGAAACAATCGAGGAAGGCATCCCTACTTGAGTTAAAATGAGGGGAAACCTACACGTGCAAGAAGGAGAAGTTATAGGGAAGTTTGCATATGCACAAATATTCTTGAGTGTGTGTGTGTGTGTGTGTGTATATATATAAAGAGAGAAAGAGAAAGGAAATAAAAAGAATACTAAAAATATAAATAATAACATATAAGAATAAATAAATATGTGAAAAATGTCATTTAATAAATAATAATAATAATAATAAAGATGATAGGTTGTCTGCCAACCCACCTATATTTTAAATCAGGGATGTTGAAGCACCACCCACTCGCTCATATGAGGTGTCATCTAAGGCCCTTAATGTGTGGGCTATTCACCCTCTCTTTTATTAAATAAAAAATTAATATATAGAAAATATTATTCCTCTCATCTCCCCTCTTTCTGTCTTTCAACCCTAGCATACACTAATCTCTCCTCCCTCACTCTCCACGCAAATACATTGTCAACCTCACTCAAGGTATACGGAGTGACCTCATCACCCTACATAATCCCCATGTATTTTTTTGGATCCAATAGCAAGTTTGCTTTGATCCTATTTTGTGTTATCTTTGTGCAAGAAATCACCTCAATGTCCTTACGCACCTTCATTGGCATGATAGCTACAAATATTGCTTGTTCAAGAGCTCCGCACACAACTCATAAATGACTTTCTTGATGCATTGGCTAAATTAATTTTGGTCATGTTTCCCCATACATCGCTTAAGCACATTTTTCTTGGAATAATGGAAACTGCACATATGTTTTTTTTCCACCCCTTTATTGAGTTGACGTAGAAGTGCTGCCAAAATCTTACTGCAATTGAAAATGAAGCTAATGGACTCTAACAGCACTATGAAACAACACAAAAACTAAAGCTTGCACTACATGTCATGTAAACAGAACAAAAAAAAAGATTAAAAAAAATTTTTATATAAATAAAGGTGACTTGCTAATTAGCATGAAAGGAATCCCTCACTACATCCTAGAATGCTATACATTCAAATAAGACACAAAAAAGACATGCAAGGACAACTTTTATATGTTTGGATTCTTCTCGCCCGGGACTAGCCTATCAGGACAAAACAAAGAATAAAATTAGGGTTGCAAGCGAACCAAACGTTCGACGAGCTACTCGTTGCTCGGTTCGATTAAAGCTCGTTTGTAATCGTTTAACGAACTAAACAAACAAACTTGAACAACATTTTTAATACTCGATCCTTACATAAACAAGCTTGAACACTAATGTGTTCGATTCATTTATGTCCACAAACAACATCATTTGAAGCTCGTGAACATGCTCGACATTAAGCTCGATTTGTGTTCGATTCAGAACTCGTGAATAAGCTCGACAAAAGCTCGATTAATATTTAATTATAAAATTGATAAATATACATAATATAAATATTTTAATTTATTATAACATAATGATATAATTCTTTTATTAATAAATTTCAAAGTAATTAAATATTATAATATATTTTGTAATTTTAATTTCCTTACAATTGTTAATTTATTATAGTACATCGTTAGATCTTGCTCATTTGATAGCTCAAGAATACTCGTTAAATTTGTTCATGAACATGCTTCGTTTGATAGTTTAAAAAAATTCTCTAAATATGTTCACGAACAGAGCTCGTTAAAGCTCGATAAGCACTAAATGAACCGAACATGAACACCATTAATTTAAACGAACCAAACATAAACACAAACAATAAAGCTTGAATCAAACACGAACCGATTTTGAACAAGTTAATAATAAGCAAACTCAAACATGAACACTCACATACTCGGTTCGGTTCGGTTTGTTTGCAGCCCTGAATAAAATAATATCATTTCAAACTTTTGCCAAAATTTTAAGATGCAACATAAAATCACAAGTGAACTTGAGAATAAGAAAAAAAAAATGAACATAATGTCATAAAAGCATGCGAACCACTAAAATGCAACATATCATGCATGATTATAATGTTGGGCAACGTTCTAAAACAGAGTCAAGAACAAAAGTCTAAAAAAATGATAATTTTAAATGGTAGACACTTCACAAACCAAAATCCAATTTAAGTAAATGGCATTAATAAAGCATGAATGCACACACTGAGAAGCATGCTACTATGTGAAAACACAAAATCCCATGTGCATTATGATAGGACGTGATGCAATTTCCACCGAATCAACGAACCACAAGAAGAATTTGAGAAGAAGAACACATCAAGAAACTTTTTATTGTAGAAAATATGAAAGAAAAAAGCAATATACAATTGGATCTTCAATTGGAGAGGAATATCTGGCTCTCCTAAATCTCTAGCCAGCAAATAGAGCCCTCACTACCTAAGAAACCCTAAATTATGCCCAAACATATCATAACCCTCACCTTGGGAAAAAACCTACTTAAAGCATACAAAACCTAATCAATGCCCAAAACAATCCTACCCCTTCCTTTTCCCTCCTAATCGGCCCCCTCCCATTTGAAAATCCCCCCGGGCTCCACCCCAAGGGGCGGGATTCCCTCCAGCAAACGAATGGGATCCGCCCTCCATGTTCCACCCCACTCAATAATTGGTCGGTCCAAGAGGGACCGACCCAACTATGACCAGTCTAGGAGGAGCGGTCTAACACATCACAAAGAGAATATCATTGTCAAAGAGAAAATCAAAATTATAATTAGAATGGCTCCAAAAGGTTACACGAGCTCCTTGAGGCAAAACAAACTCAAATCATGTCGCTCTAGAAAATGAGCAAGTATATGACTCCTATATTCTCTCTCAAAAATATGAATAACCCTCCAACATTCACAAAAAAAATATTAAAGATGGCATAAGCAATGAGAA